TAAAATCATGATAACCATTAATACAATGTCCTTGTCTGGTAAATAATACTCAAAACATTCTTGAAGTAAAATTGAATGCGGAACATACAAAGCAATGTATGAGCAGAAATGTTTAGTTTGGATCTTTAGCAACTTTTGTGAGAATATGTTTTTCTTCTCATGTTTCGGGAAGTTTATTTACGTTGACCTGCTTTGAATAGTTTGAAGACTTGCATGCATGTGTTTATCAGCATATAGTAAATGTTTTAAACATGGTTTCAATCTTTACTCTACTAGCCATGTAACCTTGGATTATGTACCAGGTATACGTTTACTCACTTCGCAATGAATTTTGAATGGTTTGGTTAAATGTCAGTGACACATATTTGTCCTGTGGTAATGAATTGTTCATGGCATACAAGCCTTGTAATGATGGAAACGAAGATATTTACTTTCTATTTCTTTGCAAATCAACTAAACACTTGAGAAGTAAATTCTTGTTACCTCTGACCAAGACAATTAGTGGAAAGTGCGAGAAAACTACTAAACTATTGTAGAAATTTTTTTTTCGTATATGCTTTATGAACAAAACAAATAAGAATTTGGGAAATAATACATCAAAAGAAATCCGAAACTTTTTCACCTGTTTTTGGAAGTTCAGAAATAAGAAACTTTCATAGGTTTTCCGTTGACTTGTATGTACGACTTCTTTTAAGCAGTTTCAAAGGCTAATAAGCCATTGTTAATGACATAGTCCCCGATTGGAATTAGGGGAAATGTTATTCATGCCAAAAATAAAGTAATATGGGCCAAAAGCATAATTAATAATTTAGAGTGAATAATTGGCTGGTATTATATCAACAGAAATTAGATGTATTAAATGACTCTTCCAAAATCGTAATATATGGTCAGAAATTAAACAGAATACGCTATTCATGCATTTTTTGTATCCAAACTGAATTTCCTTTGTCCAGGCTCATGTACAGAGATACAAAACACGAAATGAATCATCATGGACATGCATCTCACGATGTTAATGTTCGTATCAAATTTGAATAAAAACTAACAAATCCTGTCCAAGATACCACATTTCAAACAAGCAGCCTGTCGGCTGAGATAGCTCCGCTGTTAGCAATGCACATTTCAATTAATGAACTGAAGATATCATTAGAAAAGAAACAAATCTGAGAGGGGTCTACCTGAGGTACGTATATGTGTAGTATCAAAGCAATCAGACTTGCTGTTTTCAACAAGAAGTTGAAAATATCACTTTTTTACCAAAAATATTCATGAAAATTATATAATTGAAGATATCATCACGAAATGACATAGTATCAAAGCAACGAGAATTGTAGTTTTCAAGAAGAAGTTGAAAAAGTAAAAAGTTGACACGGACGACAATCACTCATATGATAAGCTCTGCTCGACAAAGTCAACAGCGGAACTAAAAAACAAGCTAGATGCCAGTCGACCATATTTAATCTGATTATAGAACAAACTGTATTCGAATATGTATGATGTATGTGCCAAATATGATTGAAAATGGCCCCTGAGCCTTGGAGATATGGTCAAAAAGCAAGATGGCTGCCAGACAGCCATTTTTGATCTTATCGTAAAACAAATTGTCATGGACATGTAATGTAAAATTTACAATGTATGTATAAAATTTGAACAAAAACTGACAAAGCATGCATAAGATACCACATTTTCAAGAAAGAAAATGGTTGTCAGTCGGCCATCTTTGATCCGATCGCGAAACCAATTGTCATAGACATGTATAATGTATGTACCAAATTTGAACAAAAACTGACAAAGCATGCATAAGGTACAACATTTTCAAAAATACAAAATGGCTGCCAGTCAGTCATCTTGGATTGAACCACTGTGTACATGTCCCGAATAAAGTAATAGGCACATGCGTAACTGCCTTTTATGGTATTCGGTAAAAGACTGATGTTCACAGGTATATTGTTTTTAATGAAGATATTACACCAGAATTTCTACATAATAACTAATATGGTATCCAGGAGGGAAAAATAGTTAGTACGTTAATTGAACTGCAAAGATACATAGAAAATAGAGTCTGAATCGATTAATTACTATACAACTCATTAACATTCCAGCAGATGAACTTAACATTGGAACTTTTATCATGAACACATTGTGCAGCATGTATAGCATTAACATAATAATGGCTGCAGCCACAGAATCTGTCATTCACAAATCTAATACTTGTGTTCTGTAACATGTTACACATAGTACAATAAAATAAACTCTGATATCAACATCTGAATTTTATTTTATATAATTCACCTTATGTTGGTGCATCTCTTTCACATACTAACTAAAACACACTCATTGTATGATATTTTCTATTCCTGGCAAAGAAACAACCAATACCATAGTTAAAACTTGGTTCTTGCTGAATGAGATTGCTAGGCAAAGAACCACTGCGTTGAGTACATGTGGTATATCCCGAGTCAAGTGTGGTTATTCACTGTGTAAAGTGTATTATTCTATTCTTAGAATATACTTGTAAAGGCTACATGGTTGTCATTTGAAGCAAATACAGCGCTATGCATAGTATCTTGTTACAAACACAGTTGTTACAATAAACTTCAAATCTTGTCTCAAATGTTCATACACTTCTATAATAGTTTATAAATTTAATAGTAAATTTATAAAGTTTTGCAACATTGTAGACAGCTGATAGACTTGGTTTGGTCGAAATCATAAACCAGCAAAATTACTTTTTAGGTTATCAAAGTTTTAAGAAACTCCTGACATGTCAGCAGTGTCCTCAAATTATCAATGGCTCTGATTGGAATTTATGTTCTTATTTAGAAGCAAGAATTGTCCTCTGAATGTTTCACAAAAATGTTAACCCAAAACACATCTCACAATTTGTGTGATAGCCCAGTACATAGTCACGATACTTGGAACCATGTCTGCAGTATAGACATTCTTATTGACCGATTTAATTTGAATTTATTTTAAACAATGCATGTTAAACATACTGTCTACTGAAACCACCAGTCAACATCACCTTCCTGCAACTATGAATTTTGAAAGACCAACTGATTTTTCCATTCCAAATATTTTTATGACTTCCTTGTAGACTCCATGCGGAGTTGTCTTCTCTTGTCATAACATGGTAGTAGCAATCAAACCTAAAGTTATACCATGTATAATTATTACACAAGACAAGTTGATAACCAATTACAGAAGTGTATGAACATTACCAACAATAATTTTAAGCACAGAAAACTTTTACATGTAATCTCATGAAGCCTGTAAACCTAATACAACAGGATGTAGATAGAAAACATTTTGGTGGTTGTCTTTCCCTGAAAAAAGAACTGACAATTTACCTTAAAATACAGTCTTAGTACAAGTAGACCTATAAATACATCAAGTACTGTATACTGGTATGAGTTAAACAATTCACTGTTTATATATGCAATAAGAATGAACCACTTTTAACCAAGAAATTTTATAGTATGTATGTATCCACTACTCTACACTAGCAACTGCATACACAATAATTCTTGGGTATACCCCTCCTTCAAAGCCATCAACCTGTGCGTATTACCATTCAGTATATTACAACAATGTCTTCTCATTATCACTCTGTACAGCAGAGATTAATAAACTTTCAAGAAAGAAATTGCACAGACATGCCCTACCCTAAATTACAATACACAACTTTTCTGCAACCAACTTTTTTATTGCATGCAATGAAAAGTCAATAACTTTTTATAACTTAAAAAATTTATATAATTTTACTTTTTTATTTAAAGATGGGAAAATGGGGGATGAGTCACATACACAACAGTGTAATGAGATAACAACTGTATATAAATTAGATATTTTTCTTATAAGGCTATTACAATTCAATTATTTATTATACTACATGCACTATTGTTTTCAAATAAAAATATTGGCCCCATCTTTCCCTATCTCACATAATTTCTAATATATTTACTGTTTTCAGTAAATTAATGATCCGAAGATCACATGTGACCATGCCTTGGCAACCAGAGACCATGCCTTGGCAACCAGTAACCACGCCTTGGCAACCAGTGACCACGCTTTGGTAATTCATCAGTGGCAATGCCTTGGCAACCAGTGACCAAGCCTTGGCAACCAGTAACCACGCTTTGGTAATTCATCAGTGGCAATGCTTTGGCAACCAGTGACCAAGCCTTGGCAACCAGTAACCACGCTTTGGTAATTCATCAGTGACAATGCCTTGGCAATTAGTTACAAGTGGTAACCAGTTACAATGCATTGGTAAATAGTTACCACACATGCAGCAACCAATTACCATAGTTTGGCAAACAGTACCATGTTACTCAATTTATCCTGATGTCTGTTTAGGTATTTTGAAATATAAATATGTGCATCATTTTTTATTCCTATCAAAATGAACATAACATGGTAATCTAAGCTTGATTGACAATAGGTTAGGTGGCAGTGTTACAATTCAGAAATCCTACTCTAGGCTACTTATCTTAGTGTTAAATACTATGCACATCCAACACAATAGTAGTCATAACACACTGATGACAATTCAAACAGATCATTTTTAGATGTGGTTCCAAAGAAAAATACTGAACCCAGATTACCTCACTCCCTGTATGAAAATATATATTCTATGTAACCCTTTGACCTCCATTATTAATTGTTGGTACCTTCCCCAAAATGGTCATGCTAAAAAATGTTATTGTTCCTAGTTGATAAATAACATAAATATTTTTAAGGAATGTTAAAATAGGGCTGTGAAAGGGGATTTGTTTTAAGTTCATATATTGGTCGGTGGTCTTTGTCAAGTTTGAATTATTTGTAGCCACCTTGTACTGATAAATGGGATGAACATATAGAAGAAGCACTGTGTTGGTTTCACAAACTCAGTCATTAGTCAGTGATTTGATAAAACAGACATCAAGTGCAAAGTAGATTTAGGCAAACTGGTGTACAGAGCAATTCTCAGAATCTAAAATATACATCTGTTTCATTCGGCGGTGATCATGTGACTTTCAAAGTTCAGTGCTTGTATTTGATGAAAAACACGTTTTGTTGCTGGGAAGACAAGGTCAGAATAATCAGCCATATCAAGTGCAGTTACATCTGCTATTCTGTGCTTTGTTTCAGTTTACAACTTCAGTTTTTTTGTCTGCTGTTTCTGTTTGATGTAAATGCCATCTCTTTGACCTTTTCCCATGATGCAAAGTGCAAAGCACTTCAAAGTTGTGTGACTTTGTATTGAAGATGCTGAAAATTGCGTGTTGTTTTCTGAATACTAGCTGGTCATCTATACTGCATTTTGAGAGGTTTAGCTGGGGTGGGTTTACTTCCAAACCAGGACATCTGTGAAAGAATATAGAAAAACTTTTATTGTAAAAATTCAATAGTCAGGGTGGTGTGACATATGAACTGTTAATTAATGTCTTAATATAGTAGGCATCTTAATTAACTGAATACATTATTTTGCAACATTTGGTTTAGTATGTTATGGCCAGGTCCAGAAGATACAAGGCTTAGCAGATTCCAAATGTATTTTGTTGTTTTCTGAGAGTACTAATTGATACAGACATCAAAGATTTTTTTTAGTATTCTGTATTTTCCTGTCTGGTTTAATCTCTCATATCATTTAACATAAATCTTATACACTTTGTAAAAAAAAATATTCACTTTTTCTATTACTTTTACTAACAAAAAAAAATCTGCTCGCCATCCCTGATTTTACTCATGAAAAAAACACTTTTTTGTGGCGTGGCAAGGGAAAAAGTGGTCTGGCCCAATAGCGTAAATTTGACAAGGGACATTTTCAAAAATGTTTTAGTAGTAAACATTCAAATTATCATCTCTAAAGCAGCAGAAATTTAACAGTGAGAATTTAACAGAGCTGAACTTTGGGTGCACTTTTGTCTACGGAAATGCTTTCTTCTTGGATGCAAAGATCAAGCCATGAAATCACATTAAAATGTTCAGAGGCTTAATAAAGTAGTGTAATAAAATACACAGAATTCCATACCTTCCATTCTATTGTCTCTTTCACTAGTCTTTCTTCTTGACGTGAAAATTGTAGCAACACAGCTACAGCTTTAATTAACTGCATAGCCTATGAGTGAAATGAAAAAAAAGTGGTAACTATGAAATACTGACTCCGACTCTTGATATCATGACCCCCCCCCTCGTTAATATCTTTTTGTAAAGTTCACAAAAACATGGAATTGAATGACGTTCACAATATTAGACCAGTCAGTATTTTTATCAAGAGTGTTCAGAAACTATATACCATATTATAGTATAATAGTCATACTACTGATATATAGCTACAGTGTATACTTTGTGATATTTCTGTGATAATTTTATTATTATATATCCTTTTGTGTATAGTGACACGTTCTATTTCAATCATAGCGCTTATTCTGTCCAACTGAAATGCCTACATGTTGGTGATGTGGTTTACGTTAAAAGAAGAAAATTTCAGAAACAAATGTTTTGAATGAATGTAAATTTTTTTTTTTTACAGAATAGTCAATTGAACTGTGTTCAAAGACAAATGTATAATTATACTTTTTGTGTCGTTGAATAGATAATACAATAAACATCTTCATACTATATTGTAAATTGATAAGTTAGAAAATCCCTGTAATTATCATAGTAATCTTCTGCATGCATACACAGTGAAATGTTCACTGCTATAAAAAAATTTCTTTCCTTTTTACAATTGTAATTAACAAGCATATAGGAACTTATTTAAATTGTGGATAAAATGTAGAAATCAATTCTAGTAGGTGAGTGACATGACATACATTGAACATACCTCTGGGTCTGAGCTGCACATGTATTTGAATATAACATGTCTAAGATACTGGAAGTTAGTGTCTCTAATTTCATGAGCTTTGAGCGGTTCTATAGTAGCTCCATGCCCCGGTGGAAGAGGAGATATATGTGTTTGATTCATGCCAGATGGTACTGTTGATGACCGAGGTATCATCTCTCTTTCCCTGTCTCGATTATTGATGTCATCTAAATCAGTACCACTACTTTGTATTTTCTACACAGTGAAAACAAATAGCAAAACATAGTCAAATTATCTGCACCCTGTCCTGAATGTCAATTCTTTTGAACCAAATCCAAACTACCATTATTGCGAAGATCAAATAAAAAATGTAATACAGTGATATGGCCATGATCAAATCAAAGAAGGAAGACACTGATATGGCCATGATCAAATCAAGGATTGAAGACATTGATATAGTTATCATCAAATCAAAGATGGAAGACATTGATATGGTCACAATCAAATCAAAGATGGAAGACACTGATATGGTCACAATCAAATCAAAGATGGAAGACATTGATATGGTCACAATCAATCAAAGATAGAAGACATTGATATGGTCAAAATCAAATCAAAGATGGAAGACATTGATATCGTCATGATCAAATCAAAGATGGAAGACATTGATATCGTCATGATCAAATCAAGGATTGAAGACATTGATATAGTTATCATCAAATCAAAGATGGAAAACATTGATATCGTCATGATCAAATCAAAGATGGAAGACATTGATATTGTCATGATCAAATCAAAGATGGAGAACTATGATATGACCCCGACTATAAATCAAAAGTGGAAGATATGAATGTGATTAAATCGAAGATGGCAATTATACACTCACCAGTTCTCTTTGCAGAGTCTTTTTCAAGTCAGATAACCTCTGCTGTTGCATTTTAATAGTTTTATTCTTCTCAGCCAAGTTATCTTCAAGTTCACTGACTAACTTCTTCAACTGATTAATCTAAAAAGAGAAAGACAAAGTTGTGCCACCTCAGGTCTTATTTTAAAAATTGTAATTTTTTATTACCTAATAAGAAGTACACACACACAGTTCCTGTGTGGATACTCTCTGTACATATTACAATGGAATAGCCAAACCCTAATTGATAAATGCGTGCATGTACAGACTCCAAACATTAATATTGCTGCTGAAGTATTTTGACATATTGAATGTAATAATGATATCTAACTGTAAAGTGGCAATCAGACAGCACACAATGGCACAAATCAATACAGCTAGCATTTCAGGAATATCCTCGCAAGAAATAACTCAACTACATTAGTGTATGGGCATACAACAGTAACTATTATAATAATATTTCATCTTAATCTTTATCAACCTTACCTCAGAATCATCAAGATCACCGTCATGTATACTTGTACTTCGTTGTAATGTTTCTATGTTTTTATGTCTCTCTTTCAACTCATTTATCTATAAAAACACCAAACTAGCAGTTACTAGCAGTCACTGCCATATAAGTGTTGAAGTCTCAGTATCACGGCAGTATGTTGACTCATAAACAGTGCAGTATTTGAAATAAATGTATGAATTATACGAGACATGAGATTTTCAAACAATATATTAAATGAAGTTGCATTGTGAAAACGCTATCTGTTCTGAGACAATATAGATTTGAACTTGAGTCAGTAGACGCAATTTTACTGTTCAGCCAAGTTGCTGCTCTAATACTTCTGTGACTTGTTGAAAATATGTTCATATGTAATAAGTTGCTGTAAACCCTTAAATTTTCATTGCCTCATGCAATGCTTTCATTCATGCTTTGATCACCTGAGGGTAATAAATACATCACCGGGTGGATTTGGCGACAGTAGTCAAGTCATGAAGTGGGCCCTCTGAAGACCAAAAATGGAAATGTTTTATATCAGATACATGACTGATTATGATTAGGGTGATACTATTGGATGATATTTAGTTCCTCACACACTATATTGTCCACCATATTGATTCTGTGATTGTTTGAGTAGAAATCTAGGACGCCTCACTCCCCAATGAAATGAATATTTTTAGCAGAAAAAATTAGATGGTTTACAGTAATAATAAGAATTTTAAATATTGTAGTGAGACCATATTTGAAAGAAAGAAATGACATCACTGGGTTATTTCTATGATATAAATGATCTAAATAACATTCAATAAAACATGATTAGAAAACTGGTGAATTAACGCATTAAATATTCATTCGGCATTTTCTCTGATAATTAAATCCATGTGAACAATATAGAACTCGCTATTTTTAAATTTAAAACCCAGCGGATGTGATCAAAATAGTGAAATAACACCAGTAAAAATAAATGATTTTATAGAACACATGCATGACATCAAATGTTGACAACATACACAAACACAAAGAAACACCCCACATATCACTATAGAATGAGATAACAGTGTACCACCACCATCACCACCACCAGAGTATAAACAGATTGTTAATATCACTGTCCAAAAATATCAGGGCTAGGAAGATTAACATCAATTTTAACCAATTGCCACACATAAAAAACTTGTTTTCTCATTCTTTTTCAACAATTTTGATTAAGATCTGTAGGCAATGGAAATTATGTCAATCTGGTTCAAAATAAAAGAATAAATTATTGAAAAATATATAAAAATTTTAAAAATATTTCAGCAACATTTTTTGGGATAAGTATATAGCATTCTGAGTGTTTTTGCTGATTTTACAGGAATTATACTGATAAACGTGATTTCTATATATCAGCTTTGTTAAGTGGTACAGTGATGCAAACAATAGCAGAAATTATTCAAATGGCAGATGCCAGGAACATAATCCTTGATTGGCTAAATTTTCACTCTTTAGGTATGGCTAGCCAATGGGGAGGAAGCTTACAAGTCAGTGACACTGTACCCCATACACAAGTGACATAAGGGGTTGGATGGTCTCGTCAAACTGACCCTCAAGTGACATTGCTTAACCTCCTCCTGTTTTTCATTCAGTGTTGTTTGATACATTAATAAAGTATCATTTTTGCTTGTTTGTAATTTATGTGCTTCACTCTGGACTATCTGACATCTTTCTAAAAGTTCTCTTACTTCTTTTAACAGATCTTTATTCTGTTTTTGGATCTTTTCCTTCTCTGTAATAAACAAAATAACAACAATTAAAATACCTTGTGCAAAAAAAACACAAAAAATCGTATCAAAAACAAAAAAAAAGACATCATGAAACAACATGCACCAGCAACCCAGCAACCCATCATACCAAGTTGGTTGAAATCTGCCTGTGTATTTCTAAATCAAAGAAAGCTTAGAAAGAACTTCTGTGTACTGAAAGTACTGGAGACATATTTAGAATTAAATCAAAATTTAAGATTAGCCTTTCAAACAATAAGCTTTGTGACTACCCCGAGCATAAACCCCTCCAGAGTATAAGCCCACCCCTCTGTTTTTAGACATTTGAGGGCATCCCCGAGTATAGGCCCATTTTGTTTGTATGGGGATCGACGGCATTTATAAAAATTGCATGTAAAAAGTGTATTTCATTGCATAATAATCGTGAGTGGTACGGTAGTTTGGTTCCTGCTTTTACAAGAAAACTTGCATTAATTTCAGGCCGGCGAATGTACGGAACATGGTTCTCACATTTTCTATTCTGTTATTTACTCAGGATGAACCCTGATGTTGCAATACTGATGTAATTCATATTTCTTTTGAGTAGTAGTTTTAGAAACGCCAAAAATGTGACCTTTAGAAAATTGCGAATCAACAGCTTTAAGGAAAAAATAACTGTTTTTTTGTCGAAATCAGATCACATTTTAATATCGCGTTAATTCACTTCCGCATTGCGTTGAAAAAATTACTTTGTCAATAATCGGGAAACTTCGTCTGTATGACACAGACGTTTGATTGGTTAACGAAAGACGTGACCTGTTAGGTCAAAGGAAGTTGTTCAGGTCAAGTTATGATGCAAAACACCATGGCGTAAATTGCTTTGTATCAAGAGTTTGCGTACGATTGAAAACATTCCACAATGAAGATAATGATAAAGATCTTGCCTTCGACTGTTTTTCCAAAGACCTTACCCATTTTTGCACTGTAAATTCAGATGGTATGTAAATCGTATTGTAATAAAATGTGTGTATTTTTATGAACATGTTTGTTTCTTCATTGTAAAAAGTGTTGTGGAAATCAAAAAGAAAAATGCAATTTGGATAATTTGTCATGCTTGGGAAGATGGTTATAATTTTAACCCCCCCCCCCCCAATATCTTTTCTTAGGTGGTCCTTGAGTATAAGCCCACCCCCTAATTTTCCCAATTTTACATGTTCAGGCCCCTGGGCTTATACTCAGGGAAGTACGGTAGTCTGTGCAATGTCCCGAGGCACATTTTAAGTACCAAATTTCATCAGATGATTAATTCCTTGAAAAATCCATAGAAATGATTAAGTAAGTATCATTGAAATGTGATGACTAGAACTTAAGGAGGTATGTACGACCTAGAAAAAGTGCCATATGCGAGTACCAAGTTGCGAGTCGCAAGTAGCAAAATATGCCATATGCGAGTGGTAAAAACGGCATATGGGAGAGATAAAATATATCATTTGCGAGTAGCAAAAAAGCCCTATGCGAGGGGTAATACAAAGGCCAGGAAAACGGGTGTATGCGAGGGGTGGAGTCATTTGCCAGTTTGCTCAACAGCTGGATTCGTTTGCTTATAATAAAATAACGTACGTTCAAATGTGTGTATCACAGTTAAATCAAATATTTACCATGGTTAGGAAATGATGTGTACATGATTGTTTGAGATTGGCATGATGTTGTTGAGGCTTTTACTTTAGGGGTGATTCATATATAAAAATAATGGTAGCAAATAGGTGTCAACACTATCTAGCCTAGGTGTCAACCGGCGCACGCCGCCCGGTACTCAACATTACAGTCAACCAGTGTACGCGGATTACATTGCGAAGGTTGCAAATAAAAGCAGCTTCAACTACTATTTCCATGTAGAGCTTTTTGTTTTTGAACCATAACCCAAAGTGTATGTATAAATAAACATTTTAAATACTATGCAAAATATTATTGTATCAAAATGATGGTACGTTAATTAATTAAAAATTGATGAATTCATTCAGTAAACCCCAATAGCACATAATAACAAAATGATAATAAAACTGACAGGATGAACTACAGTTAATAATAATTCTTTAATTACATAGATTTCAATCCAGAATTGGACGAACAAATTCTTGAACAATGAAATAATACTTTACCATGAATAACTTCTTTAAGATTCTCTTCTTTTTTTAACAAATGTTCATGTAATGAGTTAACTTGTTCCTGCATCATTGGAGTTTCTTCATCGACCTAAAACATAAGTTATTGAAAGAGAGAAGTGGTAAGTAAAACATAAGTTATTGAAAGAGAGAAGTGGTAAGTAAAACATAAGTTATTGAAAGAGAGAAGTGGTAAGTAAAACATAAGTTATTGAAAGTGAGAAGTTATCAGCAGTAAATATTCATAGCAACCCCTCCAACATGAGGTAGCCATTGTCATCAATATTAATTTAATTTTATAATCATTATTTTTTTAACAAGTCATTGGCATGAAATAATCCCTGAAACAAGTTGGCCATTTTGAAGCAGAACTTGAAATGAAGTGTGACATGACGTAAGAAGTCAAAGATTTATGAGTGTGTGGTATGAGACTGCAAACTGTGTTTGTATCAGATTGTCCTTGCCTAAGGTATCGTTGTAAGTATTCTTGCTAATTATTATTTTAGCTTTTAAACATTAGACAAATCAGCAAAAATATTGCTAACAGGGTGTTCACATATGGCAGGTGGTCTTTATATATATAACCAGATGTACATTACTTGGGGTTTGCAACGTGCATAGTACTGTATGGTGACATCATGTCAAGATCCCTATCAAGTCTCATTTCGTAGATAGCGAGACTGGTGCTACGACTTTCTGACATGACATATATCAATGTTCAAGATTTACAATAAAACATGTCTCACCACTATCATAGTGAAAGAATGTAATACATCGAAAATGTACAGAAAATATAGTTATCGTAATCCGTCATATCGTGATCAGCTATTTTGATCCACCTGGACATCCCAGTATCCTAGTTACCTTGGGCATGCGCATTCGCATTTTTCTGAGTTGATACGCTTATGCGAGAGCAAGATTGAAACGGGATCTTGGTATCATGTCACCGTAGTTGCAAACCCCAAGTAATGTACCTCTGACATACATGTAACCCATTATAAAACACAAATAAGTTTTTCAACACAATAGCAATTCTGTCATATTGGTATGATAGAAACATACCAGTAAATATTGTAGCGATACACAATTGATGTCTTACCTGCTTTGCTAATAACTCAGCCTTTCTTGTCATTTCTTCTAAAGATCTGTTTACTGATATACACTCCCTTTCTTTTTGCCGCAGTCTTTCCTAAGATGCAATAATAAACCATATATACATGTACAAAATGATCAAAATGGTAAGCATTTAAATTTAACAAATCACAGTCCTAAAAATTCCCCCCAAACAAACATATCAGGCTTTTATTAGTCTCTATTGAAAATACTATATTGAAGTTGTATATTTACCAGATTATTGTTATGTATTTAAACTAATATACGTAATATAGACAGATTCAACAGTTTGTATTGGCATGGTATTGGCAACACATGTTTCTGCTCAGTAGCCGAACATTACCAAGTAGTTCTGCAAATTTGGTTGTGACTGGATTTTCAGTATCTCAAAGTATCACAGAACCACATCATGATTATCATGAGTTTAAAGATGAGCTATATCAAAATCAATATTTAATGTGAAGCATTTTTCATTAAGATTAGTCTGAGATTTGTTGGTTGATTTTTTTTTATGTATTGCCATAAAGTGCCTATTGAATTTATAGGATGATTATTGTATTCGTGTTATCACTGTGTCCAAGTGAATTTTGAATATGTACTACCTACAAAGGTTAGATATGTTTTGTGTCCAGTCTAAGCAGAATTAGAACAGCACTGCAAGACTAGATTTATTGTTATGAAGACAATAATAACTGTTGATAGATGGTGCAGTACATCACATTTTTATCAGTATAATGTTGTAAATTTCAAATTTGATTTTTGGTGATGTTACTCAAAATTGAAAAGACTTTCAACTTTATGCACAACAAATTAACACTGATCTAGCAAGCTAACTTTGATATACTGTAAAATACTTTATTTTCGCTTGGAATTTAATTTCGCTATTGTCGCTGTAGGAATGATCCAGCGAATATACCTTTTTTCCTATATTTCACATTCAACTTGTCAAAAATCAGTGAAAATAAATTCCATACAAAACACCAAAAAATGTATTTTCAGCGAAAATTAATTCCAGCTAAAATAAAGTATTCTACAGTAATACAGAACATTCTCCAGAAAGCACACATGCTTTCATCTATTATTAAAGCAAAAAGAAATAAGACAAGAATCTGACCTTTAAACCCTGGTAGTCTTCTTCTATTGTACCAATTTGTTTCTCATGTTCAATTTCTTTTTCAAGATATTCAGTTTGCAAATTTTCTAACTGGTACTGATAAAGAACATAATAGAGAAAGTTAGAATATTTTTATGCGAGCATATAATATTTTGCTGTATAGTATATTTAGGATAATTACACTAGCCTGAAAGTTTTGCATCTACTGAGAATATGTTCAATGCATGTGAATATAATGTCAAAATTAAAACTTTTTAATTTGTAAAATGCTCAATATATTGAGATTATAGCATATCACAATTGAAAAGACTAATAATAGTCAAACTCTTTTATACTTACTATTCTTTGCTGATAGTTTGCTTTGTCAAATTCTTTGGTTGTTTCTAAAGCAATAAGTTGACTTTCCAAGGCACTAATTTTATCATGTAAATGTTGTCTCATTTCTGTTGTCAGTTGTTTAGCATCCAGAACCTGTTGTCTTGATCTATGTAGTTCAACTTCCGTTTGAACTTTCTAATAAAACATAAAATTGTTATATGATGAAATAATACATAAAAAGTAAATTACCGTCATTTGACATTGACCATTAGAAAACTGGGAGCGAGGTTTGAGAAAAAAAAATGTACAGAATATATTTTTTTTTAAAAAAAGAAAAATTCTACATAGAAAACAGCACACCCATATAAATTTACCTCAATATTACCTCTAGCTAGAAAGTGAAGGAAAATAATTATTTTATCTTCTATCTCTCACTGCTAAGCTGCATGGCACAAAGTGATTCATAATCCATCTTGGTAATACATGTATTACATATGATCTCATCAGACTAGACAAGGTGCATTCATTTGTTTTTGCTTTCAAAAAATATGAAATATTAAAAGTAGATACCCTTTCCTGACTTTCATATTGAGAGTACCAGTATTGGAGGTTTTTAACCCTTAGACAAATATACCTACAATGTAACTGACCATGCACAATTCAAACCTTTTATGGGGCATATATTGTTCAGGGGTGATACCTCACAGATTTGCAAAGTGGGATTACAAGTATTTTTCTTCAATTGTTTATTTCTACACTACTGGGCAAACATGTATGTGCATTGCATTAAAGTTCACTGACCTGAACCTCAAACTTAGACTCTGCTTCATTAGCTAGTTCAAGATTTTTAAGTGCCCTATCTTCAGCTGCTTTGAGGGAAACCTTAAGTTCTTCTACTTGTTTCTCAAAATTCTGTTTCATTGTCTGTGTCTGTTGTTGTGTCAATGCCAGCTCTTCATTGTCTTCAGCCATCTTGCTGTTTAGATGAGATATCTGCAATTGTGGATAAAATATTGTATTATTCTGATAGATGTGTGTGTGGCAGCAAACACTCACCATGCTGTTCAAAAATGATGTGATATTATTTGGTAACAGTGCCCTCGATGTCAGTTTTCAAAAAAATTATGTACCGGTAACTACTACAAATGTATTTAAAGAAGAGTTAACAATAATCCACTAGATATTTTTCGATGTGTTGGTGTGAAATATCAATTATTTGAATTTCTAACATCAGCTTGATTCCAAATGAATTCTACAAGTTAAAACTATGTACCGTACACATATTGCGAGATATACTGGTGTGTGTGGATCAAATCTAAACACTGCACACTAGCGCAGTATCATAGCATAATGAGATATTTTAGGGGTCCCTAGAAGAGGCCCAACATAAAGTCTATAAAGTGGTCATTATCTGATGAAAGTGTCCACAGACATTCCAAAATCAAAGGGAAAAGGGGGTCTGCAGGCAATGTGTTAAAAATAAACATCAAGTAATTTTTTTTTTAATATACAAAGATGTAAAAATCAATCTACAGAAATTATTTTTGATTTTAATAAAATTCTTTTACTATGCAAATATTTCCACCCAAAACTAATCAGATCTTTGCATTTTTACATCGCATCTTTTTATATTTCAGATACATATATTAGTACATATACCAGGTATAAACTGCATGTAGTTCTCATATTACTAGTATACCGTAAGTTTCTTTACCTGTTGTTCAAGACTGGTTATTTTGGAACTCCAAGTGGTTTTTACATCATTCACATGCTGTCTAGACTCCTCAAGCCTTTCCTCCAATAAATCTCTCTGCAAAACGCAATAATATACACTAACATACAACAAGGTTTATGTAGCTAGAGTGGAGATGAAATAATAGTATTGAAGCATGACTTTTTATTATACATCTTGATGCAGAAACAATGGTTTTAGTCATCCATAAAAACCTGTACAATGCAATCTTTACAAGAATTTTTTGCGCCAAAATTATGGTCCAACATTTTGCATACTTTTGTTATTTTTGGACCAGAAAGACATAATTTCCTATTTGCTATAGTAGTTGATCAAACAATATGAAAACATTATGCAAGTATACATTGTGATAGTTGATACAAATACTGTAAAACGTGTTAAAAAAGCGACATGCAAATTGTGGTAAATGACGCAATAACGAAATGCTGCTTTATCGAATCTCTCTTGTCATTGTTGATTTCCTGTTTTCACAATACTTGTCTGTGTAATTAGGAAGCGCCCCAGATTTTTATGTTTCGGATTACTGTATACAAATCCCCAAGTCTTGGCCATTTTGAATTTATAATAAAGTCATCAGCGACATCTTGAATCAGTTCGCTAAATTCGCTAAAAAGACATGCTTGTATAAAGACGTATTAAAGACGTGTTCAAATGTGCTATAAACATATACAAAAAAAATGACTTACTTCAGTTTTGGCAGCTTTTAGTTGGTCATCGCTATTGAGATCATTATCTTGAAGTCTCTGTTCTAATATAACTATTCTCTTCTCTAGATGTGTAATTGTGCTTTCTTTTTCTTCCACCAAACTAGACATCTACAGTCAATGAAAGTCACATAATAGTACATATATTAGGAAATAAACAACATCTTTCTAAGCAAGTTACATAATAAACAGAAATAAGATTGGAAAAATGGAATATGTGAGTTTTAGTATCAAGCATTTATAAATTACACCAGTCCATATAAGGGAATTTTTCATATATGGACCTTTACAGATTAGTTATATACATAATACATTAGTAACATCAAACTAAGGCCAAAAAACAGACCTGTTTCTTGAAAAAATTGTGAGTTGTTTTATTCGTTTTTAGTGTTTTATTCAAATACACCAAAACATATGTGTATAAACTGTCCTATCATATATTGACACTCACACAAACCAGAAACAGATCAATTTTTGTGGCCTAAAAAAAATGTTTTATACTAAGTGCTTGTATATTTAATGCAACTTTATTAAAATTGTTGTACAATCGTCTTATACAGGCTTATACACATGACTAAGGGAAAGATTCTCTACTCACAATATTGAGCTAGTATTGTTTATTATTCTTGTAAGCCTAAACACAATGACAATCACAGAAATGTCCAAACCCCAAAATATAATTTTAAGTCAGTCCCAGACGTACATAGTAGAAATGTTGCTGTGAGGAGAAATGAATCTCCTGGTCTAAAGTCTATGCATGGATATTTCTGCCATATACACATCATGTACAAAAATAATTCAAACGATTTTACTTCTGATCAATTCTTGCATAAATCAGAAGGTTAAATAAAAAAAAAAATTATTTGTGAGAATCGTTGCACTGGTATATAGTTTGCATCATTAATTTGTCAAACACAATTATGCTCTTGATGCTAACTTATTCATTTTACACATATGGTTGTGTACTTTAATGGCCCTATAGTAATCAAGGCGTTAGCAGAAGTTCAGATAATATACAGGTAAAGTATGATAGATATTCCCTGACTAAGTCATGTGTACAAGACCAGGTATTTAGTATACACTAGCAATATAATTAAAACAATACAGGTTTAACCCTTAATCTGCTAGATATATTTACCAGATAAGGGTTAATACATAGTATAGTATAAAGCCATAATGTCAAAATCACATACAGTATAGGTATACATACATAATTTTGACATTTTGGCTGACATCAAATTTATATAAAATTCTACCTTCTTTTTCTACAATTCCAAAATGCAAGCAAGAAGTAAAAGGTATGATATTAGTGATAATAAAACATATAAAGTCAATGAAATGGAAATTAAGTTATGCATATGTCAAAAACTAGACCTAAAAAGACAATGTTTCTTCAAATATGATATGCCCAAGAATTAAAGTCTATTTATAGCAGGTTAAGAGCTCCATATAAAGATGTATGCAGGTGACCATATAAGGATGTATGCAGGTGACCATATAAAGATGTATGCAGGTGACCATATAAGGATGTATGCAGGTGACCATATAAGGATGTATGCAGGTGACCATATAAGGATGTATGCAGGTGACCATATAAAGATGTATGCAGGTGACCATATAAGGATGTATGCAGGTGACCATATAAGGATGTATGCAGGTGACCATATAAGGATGTATGCAGGTGACCATATAAGGATGTATGCAGGTGACCATACAAGGATGTATGCAGGAGACCATATAAGGATGTATGCAGGAGACCATATAGGGATGTATGCAGGTGACCATATAAGGATGTATACAGGTGACCATATAAAGATGTATGCAGGTGACCATATAAGGATGTATGCAGGTGACCATATAAGGATGTATGCAGGTGACCATATAAGGATGTATGCAGGTGACCATATAAGGATGTATGCAGGTGACCATATAAGGATGTATGCAGGTGACCATACAAGGATGTATGCAGGAGACCATATAAGGATGTATGCAGGAGACCATATAAGGATGTATGCAGGTGACCATATAAGGATGTATGCAGGTGACCATATAAGGATGTATGCAGGTGACCATATAAGGATGTATGCAGGTGACCATATAAGGATGTATGTAGGTGACCATATAAGGACATATTCTGGTGACCATATAAGGATGTAAGCAAGTGACCATATAAGGATGTATGCAGGTGACCATATAAGGATGTAAGCAGGTGACCATATAAGGATGTATGCAGGTGACCATATAAGGATGTATGCAGGTGACCATATAAGGACGTATTCTGGTAACCATATAAGGATGTATGCAGGTGACCATATAAGGACATATTCTGGTGACCATATAAGGATGTAAGCAAGTGACCATACAAGGATGTAAGCAAGTGCCCATATAAGGATGTGATGATATGAGGATGCAGACATGTGACCATATAAAGATTTATGCAGATGACCATATAAGAATGTATTCAGGTGACCATATAAGGATGTAGGGAGGTGACCAAATAAGGATGTAAGCAATTGACCATATAAGGATGTGACGACCATATTACCATATCATTGACTGAAACAGATGGAATGTTAAATAATCCACAGTACTGTATTTTCTCTATTACAGGTAGTAGTGCAAATGACAAAGGAGTGTCTTTTCTAGGCAGAACAATTCATAAATTAAAGATCAAACATACAGGCAAATTGACATGTATGTTTTCTGAAATGTAACTTAATATGTATTTTCTCAACTATAACTATGGTAAAGTATTTGACTATCAAGCATACATAATCTAGCTATAATAAATAAACAAAAGAATATGTCTATGGATTATTTAATTTTTCACTCGTTTGAAAGTTGTTAGAAAACACTGAACCAATTTCACTATTTTATTGATTTTTTTACTTTAAAAAAATTATTCTTTGCTAGAGATAGTGATTTATTTTAGTTAATACACAGATATTAAATTGACTGTCAATTGATTATTTTATAATTAATATATTCTAAATTTAACTTATTGTACTGGTCTTATTTAAATTATATGATGTTCATAGTTAATGTATTTTTTTTTTCGGAAAACAAAATAATATCAATTAAAATCAAATCAAATGAAGAAGATGAATGAATGTTTGCACCAAAGTTGAGAAATAAATAAAATCAAAATAAATTCAGGCAAAATAAAGAAATCATATTCTGAAACATGCACACAAATAGTGGTCCAGTGTTCTCAACATATATAATGGATAGGTAAGTAAGATGACAAGCCAGATGACAGTAGCTTGCATAGACAGGAAAATACCCAGATGACAAGAGTGAGTAAAAGTTCATAGTTGAATGACTTAAGTATTTCATGCGGATGCTTTAAATCTTTGAATGTCATAATGCTTCCCACCAACATGTAGATGCAGCATATTGTACATTTTATGTATTTTATTAAATTTGTTATTTCTGACCAAATGAATTTAAGGTAGAAGTCTACTCATAAATTTTGAAAAAGTTCGTCTTAAATTGCATGGTAATGTTCATTAGTTTATTGTCTCATGGCACAATGAAATAGATTTTATTTGGTGTATTACAGTGACCTAGTTTGAGAAATTCCTTAGTATACAATCCTATAGAATACAGTGTTAAAGAAAAAACATTTTTTGACAATTTTCAAAACCCAGATGTTTGAAATAATTCTGGACAATAAAAAGTTCCAAATTATTTACAATATATGATTTTTTTCCAAGCCTACAATTTGAGATATGGCATAATATCTCTGCAACAGGAATCAATGGTAAAAGCACTGACACTGGTCACTATCCACTAAAATAAAACAATAATTTTCTCAAAAATTTCTCAATAAATATCTTTAAACACCAAGGAGTACAGTTTATTGCAAAATGAATAAATTCTGGGTATTTACATTTATGAGTAGACTTCTATCTTAATTTCACAGTAGCTGCAGGTCTTGATCAACATTTTAATATATTAAACAAATTCGTCAAGTTTATGATGTGAAAGCGGGCAAACTTTTGGGGTTATACACAGAAGATAGATAGATAACTGTTCCCGGATGACAGAGCATTAATAAATTTGTGTGCATATCACATGCAACATGGAACTCAGCAATTTATTCATTTATTACAACTGTTATTTTTACAGCAGAATAGCAGCTGAAATAAATGTTGATTTAAGTGATGAGAGTTACCTGCTGTCTAAATACATCATTACTATGCTTTAATGAATCATAGTCATCTTGAAGGGTATTTAGTTTACTTTCTAGGTGGTGTAAACTACTGCATTTCTAGAATACAGGAAAATGAAGGAAAGGAAACACAAAACAACATGTAACAAATTAAAACAATTGCAATACATTATTGACATGCATCAAAACAAATATGACATAAAAGATAAAGGATAACAGTAATTTATGTGCAACCAATGAAGTGTCTGACATTATTGAGATTGTATCTGCAAGAAAAAATATGAAATGAAACTCTCGGTATCCATGGATTATAAATAATCAGTGACATTTTTTTAGTGATACCCTCATACATATCAAAAACAGCTTTTCATTAAATTTCTCATACCTTTCGCAGATTATTATGTAGTTTTCTACAATATCTTTTTTTTTATTTTGGACCAAATAGACATAGTTACAGGTTTTGATCAAACTTTTTGAAAAAATATGCAATAAATTATGCAGGTTTATTTTGGAAAAGTAATAAAACTGACATTATTGTTAAAAGAGAAATAATCTCTTTATTCTTCATGCACAAAGATAGATGCACTATAGAAGTACCAGAATGCAGGTAAAGAAGTGGCTTCAGACTTTGATATTTTGATAATATCTCCAGGTCACCTACTGGTTATTAAAATACAGACTAGACCAAGAAAAAAAAAAATTTTCTGGTCAATTTGTTTTCAGAAATTAATGCATGCAGGCTTTTTATTTTTATTTACAGTTTGTGCTTTCATTATGATTTTTTATGAAACATGATTTTACTTTCTCATTTAAAAAGAAATCGCACAAAATAACTGAAACTAAAACTACGATGAACATATTTTTCACTGACATGTGCTAATCAGAAAATGAGATATTTTGTAGAGAACCCTAGCATTTTCGCAATATCCATTTTGTAAAAACCATGAACAGAAATAATATAAATAACCTAATAAGAATAATGCCCTGTATAGTCGTGCATTGTGTGGATGCTGCTGACACATGTAAGCATCAGATAAAATTAAAATCAGATTGTAGCTGCGATAAAAAAAACATGAAATGAAACTCTGCATGCATTCATAGATAATAATCAGTGACAGAAACATATTTTTAAGGATACTCTCACACATATCAAAACAACATTTACTGACAAATTGTTAAATTTTGTAAATTTAATATAATGTCTTTATAATTTATTTCGAACCAAATGGACACAATTTCCTATGAGTTAACATTTTTGAAAAAAATGGAAAAATTATGAGGGTTCAAGAGTCTTAATTTGTTATTAATATTTCACATAAACATTAGATGATACAAAGAATATTAGAGGCACCTTTAAAAAACTTGTATACATACATGTATAGGAAGCAATTTTCACTATAATGATCAATTCTGAATTTATTCTGACTTTTTATGAGGCAGAAATTTGTTGTCAATATTTCTGTGCCACAAAAAAGCTATCACTAGACATTATGTTGGATCAAATTTACTGATATGATTTCAATGTACTCGCAAGTTTACCCAAATTATGAACCCAAGAACAAACCGAAAATTGCTTATATTGTTATTTGTACCAGACAAATCTTCACAAATTTTTTCAGGAAAAAAATCCTTAGATATTAGATGTTCAGCCAATTTTGTCCAAACCAACAGCCTCAAATTGATAAAATTGTGAACATTTGTAGTTAATAATAACAGTTAATAAAACTAAGTCATGATACATTTTATTTGGAATTGGAAAAACTATAGATTGAATATATAATTACCACCACTTTAATAGATTATTGACAATACATGTATGACAATAAACAGCTGGATATATAAAGAATAATTATATCTATCTGGGTATGATCACTACTACACAGGGTAACAGCTGAACACAGTAGGATTTGATTTAGATATGATGTATAATTTCTACCATGACACATATACACCAGTCAATATTGAATGTCATTGATAGTGATAGTAAAGCTAAACCTAACTTACAATTATTTTATTCACATATATCTAATAACTCAATGTCTACAATGCTACAGAACCCCAGAAGGCAGTATGCATGACACCCCCTCCCCCCACATCCTACAATATCTGACAGTATTTTGGCCTACACCAATTAACTTCAACTGTTATACCTCAATTTTTGAACTTTAATATCAATTAACATATTTTTGGAATAAAAATAATGAGGCTTATGCACGAGATCTGTTACTTTTCATTGCTGTTATCACTTTTGTTTTCTGAACATATCTCTAATAGGATCATACATCAAAGTCACAAATCTTACTTTAATGGAAGTACGTGCTCTTCTAATATAGCAAATACTGTAGAACCATTGAAGTTTTTTAATTCATAATTGTAAAAGACAATTTGTATTGCCTAATTTTAGTTTTGGTTGTTAGGTCCTTGCTAATTACTATTAACTACTTGAAAGCTGGAATTTATTCATGAGATGCTTCATTGTTATGTTTTTTTTTGTGAAATATAATAGATGTGAAATAATGACATCAGCAAAATTGTAGAATAAAATATCCCCAACTTTTAATAATTCTACAGTATTCTTTCATAATTTATTTTTAGTTTTCCAAATCACCATTCGACACAAATATTAGAAGGAATACTGCAGGGACATCAACGGTTGGTTAACTTTGACATTTCACCAGAAGTTGTTGGCCAACTACGTATTGATCAGCTGTAATATGATTGGTTGTAATTGTCGACTGGTAGATTTAAATATCATTTCACTAATACATGTAACACACCTACCTCCGATATTTCTTTATTTAATTCTGCTACTTTTTCTGTATAATTTGTCTTTTCTCGTTCAAATTTTATTATAAGATCTGCATTGTCCATTCGTCCTTGTTTTAAATTATCTCTGTAATGTATATGAATAGGAATTTTTAATATGAATGCAATGAAAACCTCGCACGAATTGTAAAATAGTAAGATGAATCTACATTTATAGAAATTCTAATGCAAATTGGATATGTTTTGAAAAAACTGTGTTTATTGCAGACTGTTGTTGCTAGTGTCATTGCTTATTCACAAAGCATGCTCATTATGTGTTTTCTTTTGTTTTGTAATCAAAAATTTCCAAGCGCTCACTCGTCCTAAAATGCTGTTGGATAGAAATACTTTTTTTTTACATGCACAACATGCATGCAAGCTTCCCATGAGATTTTCATCACAGTGTATATAGTTAAGTTGCTTAACCTTACCTTATCAACCCTTGATACAAATTAACATATACCAAGATAAAGCATACTGTAAAAGGGTTAATTATTCACTGGGTTTTAATTTTGCTTATTTCGCTGACTGGAAAATGCGCTAAATTAAAATCCAGTGAATATGTAAAATTTAGTATAGAACACATTATCTAAATGATAAAACCATGAATTTAAAACCTACTGAATATGCCTGAAATGCTAAATCAGTGAAATTTAAACCCAGTGAAAATTAGTCATTTTACAGTAGTGCTAAAACACCAGGAAGGAAAGCATGGGGGTGATATGCATAACAGTCAGCTGACGAGGTATGTAGGTTTTAAAACATTCCTGCTGAGATTATAGACACATAAACATTATAAAATACTACCTATTTTTAAAAATTACAATGTATTTTTCTTTATCACAGTTTACTTTCCATTCACTGGGTGAAACCAGTGAGTATACCAGCACCCCTAACCCTCCTTGTATATAACTATTCAAGTAAGTTCTACCTATGAAATTGACATACCTTTCTTTTGTAACTTTCTCTAATATCTTCTTATTTGTCTCTAGGCTTGTCTCAAGACTTTCTCGAAGACGGATATTTTCTTCTAATTGTTGTGTTTTAAGTTTCAATTCATCATTGCACTTGGAAAGCTCCTCTTGACAATTTAAAAACTAATTAAAAAAAAAGCAATTAATGATTACATGATTAATCTATAATTGTTATCTGTGTAGTGTACATGTACTTTACAGAAGACAACCTGCAGTCCATATAATGAGCTGCTTGCATGCATTAACCTTTTCAAGACCAGGTTTTCTCCCCAAATTTGCCTGCACTTTTTTCTTATATTCTTCAATATTTCTGGAAATGGATAGTAATTTTAGAGCCAATAGACAAAACTTGAGTCAGTTTGGCTATCTTTGTCCCAATCTTCTCAAGGAAAGAGCTATCAACGGCACTATTTTTAGTGAATTTATGATGAAAAGAGGGAGCACGATTCTTTAAATTGTATAAGTTTTCCATCAAAATTTTGGTTCAACATTTTTTGATACATTTTTCTATCATAATAAGTGTGATAATAAGTTTTCTATGATAATAAGTGCATGTATATATCGCTAGTTACATAAACATCATAATTTTGGCTTTGTTTACATTCTATTATTAAGTCTTTGAAACTTCTGTGTTGAGATCTTATCACTGATAAGGACAAGTTTAATAGGACCCAAGATTTGGAATCATCAACTCCAGTTATAGGATACGTTCCCTTATGTCACAAAATGACACATAGCAAGTATCAATTTAATCAAACTAGCAGTATCAAGAATTTTTGATCAAAAATGACAAAAATATTTGCTAAAATTATGAAATATTCAAATCTAATAGAGGTCTATCCAAAGTACATGTATGCATATACCAAGTATAAACTAATTGGAGTAGAAGTGTTCAAGAATTACGAAAATGTTCATTACAAATAGAGATTTGTATATATTATTAACAAAATGATCAAATCTCATAGAGGTCCACCCAGGAACATATGTATCAAGTAGAAAAAACAATAGGGTTAACAGCTTTCAAGAAGACAGGGCGATGATGATGGACAATCGTCTATACCAGCAGGGCTTAAAAATGATGTATGTTGAGATAGGTGACAAAAGACAAAAGTTTTCTCACCAAATGTTTAATTTTCGCCATTTCTTGTGTCTGAAATCCTTGCAATTCATCACTTTCTTCCCTATTTTTAAAAAAATTTGCTTCCAATTTTTCAACTTTGTCTTCAAGTACTGATTTCTCTTTTAATATGCTTTGTAATTGAGTTTGATATTCCTCTTCTTTATTCTGTAAAACTAGTGCATGATCCTCGCTCATTTTGGATCGCCGCACCTGGTATTCTTCATTCATCTCTTGTATTCTTTTTAACCCGGCTGAAGAAAAAACAGAATATTCAGGAAACAGTAAAATCTGACTGAGCTGACGACAAAGCTGTGAAATGACAGACGGGATGCCTTCTTTCTTGAAGAAATGTTGCTATTTGACAATAAATAATGGTATATACATACACTACTAAAGTTTACTAGCATTCATGGTAACAAAAGTTACAGCTAACCACTGAACAAAGATAAAACAATACATAAACAGTTAAAAATAATGTAATAACTAGTGTAATATCCATAAATCTGTTATAATTGGTAAGAATTATAAAAATGTTTTCAAGTGTTTGTAATACATCCTGGGTGAAAAAGACCCAGAATTGTCAGTATCTTGGATATAGTGAATCTGTTTGATTCAACAGGATCACATGACTTTTGAACATACAGGGTTGACATATTGTGTATACAAAATGTCCTTGTTTTATTGGTAACACAATAGAAGTGGAGTTAATGCTGCTATTCTGTGTAATATGTTATAGCTGCTGAAATATGGCACTGATTACATTTTAAAGGTTTGTTGCCTGATGTTTTTGTTTGATGTCTTCTGTGACAATTTTTTCCAATGAATAAACACATGAACATATCTTACCATCCTGCTGTTTTTCTAAAGCGATTTCTAACTTGTCCTTCATTTTAATTGCATCTTTTAACATTGTGCCATACTCGGTGACCTTGCTATCTAAATCTTTGATTCGCTCATTCTTTTTGGATATTCTTAATAACAGTTCTTCTTTTGAAGCTGATGCCTAAAAACAATGTAGAATGTAAATCATCAAATATTTTGAGATTATTACAAGAATACAGCAAAGTATGAACGCAACTAGTACAGTGATCGTATCAACCACTGCATAGAGAAGATCAATGCAATCCAATTCTGCCTGAGAGGAGACTGTGGAATTAGTGTGATAACTTTATTATACATTTGTTACTGCTAGTACAACAGTTACAGTGTAATCAGGTATAACAGCTCACAATGTCATAAAATAGTATATGTTCCTGCACGGCCGTTTGAGCCACAAACTACATAGTTGCTGTGTCAAATGTAAACAAAGGAAAGTATTTGAATATGACGTAAATATGACGCACAAATATTATGAACAGATTCAGACAGTGTTTAAACAAACAAATGTTTAAAAAAAAATGACAGCCTCAATCAACAGCTTCCATTATTTAAGAGTAGGATACCAAATTTGAAAGGTATAAGGTGAAGAGAAATAGCTATGAAATGTTGGTTCTTGTAGCTAGCTTGCAACCTGTTCCCACGGCTGGTTCAGATTTATATTATTTTATTTTTTTTTAATGTTAGTGAAATGTCACAAGTGTTGTGATTAGCACACACCAATTGAACAGCATCTGGGCTTTCATCTAAAAATTGCATGCTGGGTACACATGAAAATAATTTAGTTCATGGTAATGTTTAAACTAATACTCTAAAGGCAATAGGGTTTTTGACTGTCTACTACAATGCATTTCAGAAATGCACGAATTTGATTTATATAAATATTTATAAATGTTCCATAAAATTCAAATAAATTAATAATGGTTGAAAACCCCTAGACCATGGAGTTATAATCTGTTTATACCTCCATGCCTAGACCAATCACCACACATTCAGGATGCATAGCTGTAAATCGATCAATGACTGAAGAAAAGATGTGAAGCCTTATGGGTAATGGGCATTGCCAAATGGCTTCTACAGCCAATGGAAGAGTCTTCTTTGGGTTATAATAAAGCGTGAGGGTCTTCCGTGGTAAATGTTTTATAAATATTTTATAAATGTCCATAAATCAAATTCATGCCTTAGTGAAAATGCCAAGTCAGTGCAATCAACATGTACCGGTATGTTAATTTATTCAGCCTGTAAAAAATTTTGTAGCAATAATCATTTAGTGTTTTTAAACTATCTTACCGTAATATCATGTTCAATGGCAATAACAATTTTATTTCATTTTGTATATCATTTTTACAACACCAGAAATCACAGCAGAGCTCTTGGGGCAACAAGTTGACAACTAAAACGTGAATTAGCTGACAGCTTGGGATTTGAATAAACAGTTGGCTAACTCTAGATATGACAACACATGTTGACTGTCATGCCTCCTGTCTGGGATTGAGCATATCAAAGATGGTTTGGGTATATGAAGGTTGGATTTAAAATGGGTTGAAACAATGCATTATCATTGATATGCTGCTGTAAGACGACTGAGAGTTTGTGTAATCCACAGCTGTACACTTTAAAGCAATGTGCACAGCAGGTGCATTGTACCACAGACAGAACACTAAAGAGCAGTTAATTTTCTGAAAATTGGTGAACCCAATTAGTTACTGGTAAATATGTAAAATGTTTGGGCTTCAATGACAATATCTCCAGTGCTATTATGAATGGAATAAACTTACCAATGGTGAACTTGTCCTTGATTCATTATCACTTTCCACTGATTCCCTTCTTCCTGCGCTATTTCTACTTTGTGGTTCTCTTCTCGTTGCCTGGCCGGGACCGGGACTGCTAAAGCTACGATTCAAAGGATTTTCTCCATCTTCTTCAACAAGTTTCTTTTTCAACTTAGCAAACATTTTGATTGCAGCATCTACACCAGCCTAAGCTATGACATTAGCACTGTAGATGATATGTACAATATGTACAGGTATAGTTCTGACAGACTATAATAATATTAATATACTACTGCAACTACGACTGCAAATCTGGATGATATGTACAGCTGCTGAATAACCAGAATAATCCTCTCCAATAACTTATAGATGAAGTACCTTGTAACCTGGTGACATAAATAAACAGAATATAAGCTGTAAATTTGTGTAACTCATAGTGCATGTCAAAGTGAGCATATCACTTTTGTGAAAGGTGTCACATTCATTTTGTGTTCATTTTGAAAAAAATACTATTTTCAATCTAAAATGTTGATCTGTCAAAAAAATGATTTGGATCAGTTCATGAAATTATTAAAATTAAGAGCTGTACATTAATTGAGTATTGAGAGGCATATAGTTTTAATTTCAAATTCAGCTTCTTGTCCAAAATTGTGATTACATATTCAGATCCCGGCAGATTTTGAAATCTGATTCAAGATGCTAACTGAAATGACAAGAATTTACATTAGTTTCCCAAATTAGATTTGACAGGCAACACAAGAATATTAAGATCAGATGGTATAAATGTGAATGATGTGAAAATAACTCCTCTGACAAACCACCAGGTTACAATATATGTTACCTCATGTTGTCTCGATAATTGTTGTAGAGATGACAATCCATAAAGAAATGTAATTCATCTTCAGTTTTATTATGAAGACAGTTTATGCAAGTTCTAATTTCATTTGTTGTTTTAGTTGAGTGTGTCTACCTGTTTCAATAGCAAGGTTATGGTTACTGGTTCTAAATTTACATAAAGTGTTTCTTTCTTTGAGGGGAAGTACAGATAAATATGGTTCATAAGTACAAGTATATTTAAACATTACATATGTTCTAAGCTTTGTTTTTTCTTTAAGGCATTTTTCCCAGAATTTTATCACATTCATAATATTAATTTGTTTCGAATCCTGTGTTAAACTGTTTCCCACAGCAAAATTTTGGATAAACTTTTTCTATTGATGTTTTACCCATTTATTGCTATCTGTATAGAATAGGATTGGATTGGATAGGATATTTTATTTGGAATGTACACAAAAACAAAACATAAAATAACACAACTAATCTAAAATAATTTTAGAATCTGAAATACAAAATTAGCTAGAATACTACAAACATATTTGTCTACACTTGAGAAAATCTTGATAAACAATTCTTCAGTTGGCAAGATTTGGTAATCAGGTGAGTAAACAAATAGTGCATAGAGGAATTTTTCCAGTGTTCTGAAAAAATGTTATGTTTACAATGAAAAATGTAATGTTTTTCATCACCCACGTCATTAGAGTCATACTTGTTACATACCCTGTCAATTTTATTTATTTCCCTGTGACGGCCTGTTTCAATTGGCAAGAAGTGGGCTGAAATACGGAATTTGGTTAATGCTACTCTGTGTTTTTTATAGTTTTTTATACCATCCATCATCCATATTGATGACCAGTTTTGTTAAACTGACTTTCCACATTTATTGAGTAACCTTTCCTTAAACAGATTTCAAAAATTTGCCTGTTTGTCATATTTGTAATTTGTTTTTGGACAAATTTATACCAAGGATCGTATTTAAACCCACTACATGTACTTTCTTTAAATGCAGCTTCAATAATTAAGTTGTTTGTTTTCTTACATGACAATCTTTGATAAAATTTCATGACAGTAGTACAAACATCAATTACAAGTAGGGAACGACCAAGTTCACCTCTACAAGCAATATTGTATATTGTATATGTAGTTTATACCATCTATAAGAAATTTTAATATAAATATATTACGGCAGGCACCTTGTTGTGTTGATTTGTTGACCGATGAACTTGCTGGAGTCATGATGACAAAACAGATAATCTCCCGATTAGAGAGTAGGTGGGTGCATGGTGGGTGTGTGGTATTATTTATACCGGAAATCATTATTATATTTTTTATACCAAGCCAAATATCATGCATAACAACAAGTGTAATGTTTATATCACTGAAGTGTAAGGACAATTTTAAAACTGTAAAATAAGTCAGCAACCCGATCCCAAATCCACGATCAACGCGATATGGGCGATCATCATTCAATGATTCGCGGAGGGTCACTCAGGCGTCAGACAGAATCCGGCGACCGGTGAAAGGACGATGGGAAGTTGTAATTGATAATAGTAGGGTGATTTGTAATAATTAGAAGTAAACGTAACCTAATGCTCAATATATATACAGAAAATATACAAACCTCTCATTCAACAAACGAAATATTAGAAGCAAATCGTAAGTTCACTGTAGTTAGCGATAGGACGCCATATTGACTTTCGTGGCAGTCTGCACAGCCGCAGTTGTTGTGATGATGTCACAAGGTCAAAGGTTGGAATACACAGCTGGGCGACTGGGCGGAGAGAGAGAAAGGTTTGTGAATATTTGCTGTCGGTTGATGTGAGTTATCGAAGTTTGAATCTATGATTTGTCGTCGCTACATATTTTCATCATTTTATATTAATCTCAACGATTGCAATTATAGGAAAATACTGTACATGTAATTTTCTGAGAATATTCAAGTTACCAGATTAATTAATTCCTAGCATTACAGTTCATTTCATTTAAAAACATATTTGTGGAAGATTGGAGCGTAATATTTTTTTTTTATTTGTCAGGTATTTATGTCCCCGTAACCCAACATTTAACCTCTCTGTTGATTGGGACACGATATCTAGCCAATGAAACTATTAACCAATCATCAACGACGAGTCTCACACAGCACACTGAAATCAAAATGGACGACATGGATACAGGTGACCGTCGGATATGGTCACCATATGACAAGTCATTCACCAAAGTAACTTTAATACAAGGTTCAGGATTGGCCTCTCCGAATGAAGGTGCCACTTGCATAGTGGAAATCAGTCGATTGACCGGAGGATGTCACGTGACTGATGACGTCGTGGGATACCCGCTTGGAAAAGAAACCAAAACATGCATTGGTGAATATGATGCCGACTTATCCGAAATCGTAGATGGTTGCCTAGAAACCATGAAGGAAGGTGAAGTTTGTGAACTTCACATTCCAGAATCAACATTGATGGAAAGAATCGGTGTTGATTATTTGTGCAAAATGAGAACGACAGTTTGTGTTGAAGATGTTGACAAATTGAACATTATTTTGAAGATTGAACTCAAACAATTTACTAAAGTGATTGAAAAGTGGAAAATGTCTCAAGAAAAGAAAATTGAGACAGCTGAGTATCAGAAAGGCAAAGGAAATGTATGTTTTCAGCAAGGTAAAACTGTACTTGCAGCAAGACGGTACAGCAAAGCGTTAAAAAGTCTTATTACAGTTGTTGACATGAAGCATTTAAATGATTTGCCAGTCAACATGAAACAACACTATACAGCATTAAAGTGTTCATGTTCGTTGAACTTGGCTGCTTGTTTACTAAAATTGAAGCAGTTTTCAAATGTTGTCAAGTTGTGTTCTGATGCATTAGAAATTGTGGGAGAGAATGTTAAAGGATTGTACAGACGGGGACATGCTTTTAGGAAACTTGGTGAATTCGAAAGGGCCAGGGAAGATCTTACTTTTGCACAGAGACTAGAACCACACAATAAAGCCGTGCAGGATCAGATAGCAATACTGGATCGTGATGTAAAAGAGTTGGATGACAAGTATGCAAAAGCCATGAGTAAAATGTTTGGAGGTCCTGTAAAATCATAAAATGAAAGGTTAATCATGGGACAATTTAAAAAAAAAATTAAACCAACTTTTCTGAAACCGAAATCTATTTACGACTAACTTGCTTGAAGTTAGGCCTTACTCCATGGTCCATCCTTACAGCACATTAAATACTTATTTTTCTGTGTGCTAAGTTCACAACCCTGTCTGTGTGTCTATTCCACCAATATCACTAACCATTGCATTTCAATGAAACTTGGTACATTAAGTACCGGTACTATGCGAAAATGCTCAAACATAATTAGTTTTTTTATTAAAATCTGTGTAGTTATCTATTTGCATAATAATTAGTCAATTTAATTTTCAGCATTTATTGAGACATCTCAAGTTATAATTATCCCATTTTAATGAAACTTGCTACACAGATACCCGAGGCAGCAATACACATATGTGATTAGTTTTGGGTGAAAAATCTGCACATATTTAATTGCTTAATTTGCATAATAATTATCAGCTTTTTCACTGATATCTCAAGAACTAAGTAACTTTGAACATCGATGCACGGGGCAATGTACAGGTGTGTGTTTAGTTTTAGGTTTAAATCTGTACATAATAATCATCTAATTTGAATATTAATTAGCCAACTTTAATTTTCATCAAAAATGGCAGAGCGGAGCGGCGTTGTTCATCATTGTCCGTCAATCCATCCATCAACAATTTCATTTTCAACTTATTATAAACTACTACCGGTAGGTGCATTGGTTGGGTCTTTGTCAGATTTGTTCATTTTTGTTGACGATATCTTCAATTCCCAATTTCTTGAAAACCCTCAGCCAATTGCTTTGATACTTGTTATGAAGGTACCTTGGGTGGGCCTCTATCAAATTTGTTTTATTTTGTGATGATATCTTCAATTTTCTAATCAAAAACAAACATTTTTGTCATTTTTGGTAAAAAATCTTATATTCATCTTCTATTTGAAAACTTTCAGCCTGATTACTTTTGGTTGTGGTAATAACAACTGAGGTCGTGTGCACACTTATATTTCAAAAAAAACTCAACACATTTCAATGAAACTTTGTACATAGGTGCTCTGGGAGTCAGATGTGATTACCAGTAGTTGAAATTCACGCATATTAATGAACTAATTTGCATAATTAAGTAAGCAATTTTCTGATATCTTAACCATTTATCAGATTCAAGTTAAACTTTGTGCATAGCAGACTGCAAACCACAGATGTACAATTAAATGTATTCCTTTTACTTTAATAAGAGCATTCTGTTATGATAATAATCAAATTATTGCTTTCATATTGTGATTCTTGTATAAGGTAGTTTGCTACCTTCAAAATTCTTGAAATTGAGCGAGAGAGGGTTAAAGGTTACTGTCATGTTCAAAATTCTGAAATAAAAACATTTGATCAATTGATCGAAAATGCGTGTTTTGAGCAGTTTACAATTGGTTCCTATGGCAGAAACATTCCATCATACATTGTATTTCCAAATTTTGTTTGGTGACCTTTGATCTATTGATGAGGGCTACATATGACAGTCACGATTGTAGAATTGGAATAATAGTACATTAGTAAGTTATCCATGCAATAATGTGTTTACATGGATTTCTATGGAAAATTTTCAAAAATGGCCATTTTTTGGATTATTTAGCATGTTTTCTTGAAAACACATCCTTAAAATCTTTAAATACGAATGACTTGCCTGTATGTAAGTTATTGAATAATTTACTGTGATCAGTTTTTTATGGTTCTTAATGTTACTAAATTGTGATATTGTATTCTAATTGTATAAAGTGTTGTAATGACGATCTAAGTTGATTAAAATAAATTTATTATTAAAATTACAAAGTTGTTGATAAACCTGCATTTATTTTGATAAACTTGATGAAATGGTTTTGACATCTCTTCCTCAACTTGTGCACTCACTGTTTTGCTTACATTATAAAGTAGCAATATTAATAGAAGCTCACCATTATAAACTGTTACATTTGAACTATTAATATTGCTACTTTGTTAGCTAAACAGTGAGCTATATTATAATACTCCTGGTTGGGTTGCTTTTTTGTTCACAGTAAGGCTGCATGTACATGATCTATTTTAATAGTAAAATTTTTTAACAATTCAGGGTTATTGATGATTCTGTCATCTCTGATTATTTGCAATTGATTTGACTTGTTGATTTCCGTGTATGTCATCCAACACCGAGTTTTATTCGTCAGCTATAATTACTAGTCATCAAAACAATATCCAACATACCAAGTAGATATTTGATTTGAATTAACATGGAATGTAGCTGCAGTTTCATCACAATTTGTGAAATAAAACTGAATTTTAACACCCTAACTATGAACCACATCTAAGCAATTAAGTGTTTGCATGGCACTAACCATGCATTCGCCAGATGGCCATAGCGTGTCATTGTTTACAGACAAGCGTCTAGCCATGAGCCTTTGCATTTTTAGCTTGTGTTATCGTCGCTTGGGACTCAATTCTCGTGCAGGTGACAACCCTCCCGCTTTAAAACACACCACACAATGTTGACATGATGGAACAAAATATCAGATGCAGCATCAACTCAAATATTCTACTACAGCATAAAGAGATAACTGCAGCTAAGAAATTTAATGTCAACTGCAACAATTATAGGGAAAAGGAATGAGTCTATAGCTGCAGTTACAGCATTTGCTGTTAACTCCTGTAATTGGAGGTTTTGTCATTTGCTGCAGCTGATGGGAGGGGGGGGGGTGGTGTTGCTGTCAGTTTTTAGGAAAGTGTAATTCTATAATTTGCTGTCAACCGCAGCAGATTTAGGGGTACCTAAAATTCTTATTTGCTGCAGTTATATAAGTAAAACAAGATAGGAAATTATTGCCAGCTTTAGCAAAAAGGGAGGTCTTGTCAACTGCAGCAATTGCAGTGGAGGGGGGGTACATATACGAGCAGTACATGCATAAACAGAGTTACACCAATGCTTAGTTTTGTAGTATATAGATTTATTTGACGCTGATGGCCTAATACTGTGTGTAATGTGACAAGATATAACATGTTGAATTTCAAGTATCCACATTTTCAATTGTCTTCGACTCGTAATACATTTCAATTGAAAAAAAAATGCTTTTTCTCCCAAAATATGTAACAGTATGGCAGTAATGATTATGTATGAACGAGGTATGTTTAAAAGATAAGAATTGAAGGAACCATTTTATTTGGAAAAGCGGTGTTTTTACATCATATGTAGACAACCACATAGTAACTGCACCACTCTCAAAAAGAAAATAGATCCTTGTATATTCATGAAATTTTTTTTTCTAATACCGTTAAACTTAATATCAGTAATAGTTTAGTTGTTCACCACAATTACATAACTAATTTACACAGAAGACTTTTGGCATACAGAAGACGCTGAAGAAAAGAATTAATTACATCATATAATAAATTATTACGTAAAAAGAAACTATATGATCTTCAATGAAATCAAGCATCACTAGAATGGAAGAGCCGAAAAATTAAAACAATCATACAACTTTTGGAGAAAAAAGGTATTACTACAGTATGCTTCGAAATAAAAAATAATTAATTAAAATCTAAAACCCCTAAAATGAACTGGTTACTATGATAACAGATCAGCCATTTAAAATCAAATTTCCTATTGGCAGCGTCATACTACTTTATTACAAAATTAAAATTAAGTTTTTGCATATTAAGTACGCTTGAACAATTCCAAAGGTGATAAATAAAGGTCAAGTTTAGATGTAGCGATAGCTACTTTGGTGAAACCTATGTCACTTTTATCATTTCATGTCAGAAATGGTCCACATTTGAAAAAGATTCTCTGAAATGTTTAACAAACATCGATTGTCAGACTGGCTGAAATTCCTTGCAAACAGAAGCTTAATTTTCAGTTGGCGTGTCAAATCAAGTACACCTTCTAGATGACTCTGAAGACACATGGATATACACTGTAAATATACACGTAGTTGTTGTTTAATTTAAATCTAACATGGGCTGACATTTTAAAAGTAGGCATACATTCCAGCTCTCAGCTTCATAATTTTTCTTCCAAATTAAAACAAGATTTTTATAAGAAATCCAACATGGCAACAAGCCAAACATTGAGTAAATAAAACCTTCCTTGTACTGTTACTAGTAAGAAAACAATAGCATAAATAGAGTCCTAAAAAACAAAGATATTTACAATACAATCTCCTCTAATGGCCAGAAAATAAAAAAAAAACATTGTTACAGAATTAGAAAGCACCATTTCCACTACCTATAAAATATTACAGGAAATGCATAATATATATATTCAATTGTAAAACCATTAGAAGTTAAAAGAGAATTCAAGCTTGCTTATAAGTGTCTTGATTATTTCATTATAAATTTGAAAATTATCTTTCCTTTTTTAAGAGTTTGTTTGAACACTATCAAGTACAGTTTGTGTATTTCAGTTTCAACAAAGCTTGGTTACTCTAAGGAATGAGAATCTTGAAAATACATGAGGGATGTAAAACATGCAGATAAACACCTACTATATACTCAACTTCTAGGTTGTCAATCATAAATAGTATTTAATTAAATCAATGTACGTCATTTACAAAGTAATTGGAAGACACTATCAGCACCAGTGTATGTACAACATAAAAAGTAAAATGGCAGTGATAAATAAACCCACAAAGCAGGTGTTTAGTCAATGTCAGGTAAGTGTTCATTCAATGAATTTGGGTTATGTCCACTCCTGCAAGTGTTCGTCTAATGTTCAAGCAATATTAAGTGAGTGTTCATTCACTGAATCCAGGTGATATCTACTCCTGCAAGTGTTTGTCCAATGTTCATCCAATGTTGAGTACATGTTCATTCAATGAATTTTATAATCAATCCATTGTTTATCCAATGTTAAGTATTGTACAGGTAAATATTGAATCTGCCGATTGAAGCATTCATTGAGTCATCTATGCTTGTTTTGATCACAGTCTGTCTCTGCTACGCATCATCTGCAGCCAAAGCACAACCTCAATATCAGAAGATATATTGATGGTCCTGATGTTTGTTAATAAATAACAACAAATGTCAAAAAGCCTCTGGCACTTCAGAAAAACTGGTAGAGCCAGGTTGTTGGTACCAAAATCAGTTGTTGAAATTACAACAACTGGAAAGGGAGCCTCTGGAATACTTTGTCAGAAGAACTAGTACAGCCAGGTATTGGTACCAGAGTCATTTGTTGATTATTAAAAACTGCGGAGCAAACAGAATCTTCTATCAAGAAATGTCCATCATAGATATTTATCACTGATTCTAAGTAATCATCTTCTTCTTTTCATGAGTTGGCAGCAGCACATCATGTCATTTAATTTCCAAGCAATAAAATCTTCAATCGGTAGACACTGATTTATATCATAATTTCCATACCCCCCTCCCCCCACTTTTCTGCTCACCCCCCTCTCTTGTACTTCCATCCTTTCTTAGTGTTTGGCCTGATCTTGAGCTTTATGCTGGAAATAATATAGAAAAAGTGAAATTACCACCATACCAACTATTTAATTTGACACATGGACCTTACAGGTATTTTCCCATGTTCATCCATATACAGTACTACCCTTATCTTAAGATACAATATTAAGTTTGATCGAAACTTTTACACAGTAATTTCCAGCCACATTATTCCCTGTAATGGGATACAGTACTTGAAGAAAAACCTTAATTGTAACCAAACTACTTTTTCAATTCAAAATGGCTGCCTGAGTAAGGCTTAACTTTATGGAGTCTCTATTTTCATGGGGACAACGTTGCTCGTTTTCATTTATTTGATTAAATATTACTCAGTAAAATATCAAGAATTTGTAGTGCTTTTAAAACTTCAACATGTTTATTAATTATAAAACATATAACAAACATTTGTGATGAAGTTCAACAATCCAATATTACATATAAATGCTATCCAACAAACATTTCCCATAATGCCACAGTCCCATAGTGCCAACACAAGAATTAGTTTGTGTACTGGTATAACTTATAAACTGTGCCACTGAGAAAACTCTTACCTCTAAGTTGATCTTGGCCTGCTTAAGAACATCATGAGTTTTGTCCACTGTGGAGGCAAGTGAATTCAAAAGTTACGAGCAATGTCAATTTCAAAAAAAAAAATTAAATCAATGAAAGCAAAGTTATTCACACCAACAACCAAGGTTTAGTCATTCATCTTAGGAATACAATAAATGTCTTGCAAACATTGTTTTTTATTTACCACTGATAACAAAATATTGACACATGAATGGTATCATGTATACCCATTGCTAAAGTGTACAACTTACAGAAAAGGTGTTCTGCACAAATAAATCAAAAATCCTACTTACATTGCCGAGCAATAGCGTTTTCCATGCCTTTCTTAAGCTGATTCGTTTTTTCCAATCTCTCCAGGGCATCTTTGAGCATAGCCTGTTGTTTACTGATGGTAAACTTGAGTTTTTTGTATTCTTCTCGGGAATAGACAGTTTCAACGTAGAAGGTCGCCATTGACTTTAATCCTTCAGCAAGGAATAGCTGCAGACTTTCCACATTGTGTGTCATTTCCTTTAACATTGGTACTTCATGTGAACCCTGCTAGAAATGAAACAAAAACAGATTATTATTATTATTATACTATCCTCGGGGTGGAGCTACGCCACAAGACATTGCTAAGGAGCGCACCACAGTAACCACGTATTTCTATGGGCTCTGCTGTGGAAAGCCGGTCGAAGAGCCAGTGAAAATAGCTAAATTCAAGAAAACAACACAAACCCAACCTAGAACAACCAAATTTATATATGTTGCACACACAGGGGTAATCTTGTTACACTGGTTACAAAGTACGGTTTTCTGACAGTTTTCGGCCTTTCTTTTCACTGTGATGGTTTCCAGGCGATGAAAATGCCCAGATGTCCACACCCGAGAATTATTTCTTTAGTTATTATTTAACTGTATGGCAACATAATTCAGGGAAATCTTGTTTCTCAGACTAGTTGACACTCACAGTATCATGGGCTAGTATTATCCACTCATGCTTTATTGCAAGATAATACTAGCTCATGACGTCACTCGTATCTACTAACAAGTGATATCAGGTGAAAAATTATTCAAACACTGATTACCTTAATTGCCATTCGTTGGCGTTCATGTATTCGCGCTTCCATACCAGTTAATACAACTGATATCTCTTCCATCTGCTGTTTGAGTGATTCATACTCTAAAACGTCTCCGATGACCTTTACATCTCGTCCTCTGTGTTTCCTGGTTTGTATATCGCCACCAGACATCCTTAAAGGTGACACACCTGTTGACAAATCAGTGTAATTGGATTTAATGTTTTATCAATATTCAAAAAAAATGATCAAATCTTGTCATCACACACACATTTTCAAAACCTTGGCCTCACACATTTTTTTTTGTAACTTTGCAACCAGTAAAGTGTTCCATATTCAGTAGAAAACAACAAAACAGCTCTTCCTCTTTACAAACAATTACACACAAATAATTTTAATGTAAACAGTTCTAACCTGACATGGATGAGAGGATTGGGTCATCAAGCTGTACAGTTCCATGTGATCTAGACCTTGGTGAAATACTTGAACCATCTCTAGTATAGTGAGGACTGGTTCTACCATTATATAACGTTGGCATTGATGAGGCTGATTTCATACACTCAAAATTATCAGTTTGAACAGGTTTATCTACAGATTAAAAATTCAAAGATGATTATATTAATCACTGTGGCAGCATGTTATCCCTGTCCACATCCACAGCTAATGTGATGTTCAACAGGTGCATTTTGCAAAAGTAGCGGTAGCATCAATTGCTCATAGTTAAGCATTCTCGTTTTTCCGAATAAACAAAACAAACTATGCTCAATTTTATAAAACAGCTAATCAATAATGGAATAATATCCAGTGTTTGATAAATCCACTGTTTCACATATTACTCAATAAATCTGTTCACCCAGTAGTACCGCCATCTTATGACATGTTTGTGTAAACATAAACAATGTAGTACGCACTGCATGAGTCCCACATCAAACAACACAGTGACGTATTATCCCTATAGTATTTGCTCTATTACGGTAGTAGCGCTTGCACTGTAAGTCAGTGAGATTTTTCTATGATCGCAATTTTAATGATTTAGTGTACAGCCAATACAGTTTATATATGCTTCTATTGGAGAAAATACAGTATCAGTGTATGTATTTTATGGAAGGTTTTGAAATTAGAAATCAAATTACCTTCAAACAGTCGCCTTGGACTGATTCTATGCAAGTCTGAACGACTTGAGGATTTGCTTTGGGATGACCTTGAACTTGGTGACAGCTTTTCATTGGACAGTTCTTCAAGTTTGACTCTGAGTGCATTATTTGTTTCAATGCTTCTTTCTAGCTGAATCCTCAATTGTCGAAGTTCTTTAAGTAATTCACCCAGATCCAATCCAGATGATGGTGATTTTTTACTGGATCTAGAATCTAAATTATAATAAACATAAAATAAAGAGATTTTAGATTACAACATATAAAGTACACTACTGGTAAAAAAAATTTTTACTTTTGAATGGCAAACATTTTCCTACTAAGATGTTGCATTTCTTTTGTATTTTTCAATATTTTTCATTAATGCTAGATCAAATGAACAATAATTTACAATTGACGACACAAGCATAAGAAAATTTTAGGGGAAAAAATTATGCAGGTTGATTTTGTGAAAGGTGACTTTGGTGGTAAAGGGTTAATTGTAATCCATAATTGTTAAATCCTTGAAGTCTGAAAGAATTGAAAATTTACCATCTTTCGTCAACTTTTCAACAAATGACAGTTCCATCTTCAAAGTGTTGTTAAGTTGTTTGCCTTCTTGGATTTGGTCCATTAGCAACTTCTTCTCTTCTTTTAATCTGTAATTACAACCAGATACAACAGTTACACTGATAGGTTCTCGCATCTTTCCATCCTCAATATCAACCAATCAAAACATAGTTTATACATGGAAGGACAAGGTTGAATATACCCACACATCATGCAATAGAAATATGACAAATTTAAATAAAGTAGAAACTGAATCAATGTTCTTACCTCTTAATATCAGACTGTGACTTTGCATATTCAGTCCTAGCTTTATCCAATGCCTTCTGACTGTGTCTAACTGCCCTTTCATTCTCAGCAATCTTCCTATCCTTATCACTGAGTGCTTCGTTCTTCACATACAACTGATCCTCAATATCTGCAAACTGTTTGTCTTTCTCAGAGAGCTTCTCCTTCAATCCGGCAACTGTCTGGTTCTTGATGCGCACCTGGTTGTCTGAATCAACAAGTTGTTGGTCTTTTTCAGAGAGTTTTTGCTCTAATCTTGAGATGGTTTTGCACAGTTCGTCTAATCCAGCTTGCGATTGTTGTTTTTGGTAGAGCTGGTTTTCAGAATCCAAGAGTTGCTGGTCTCGTTCTGCGAGCGTATTCTCTAGCGCTGCGATTGCTTTACGGAGTTCAGCATTGTCAAGACTCAGCTCAACGTTAGTCTCTTGAAGGTAGAGGTTTGCAGCTTCTGAAAAAACAAACATCAATGATGAATACAATGTAATAAAATTATTAACAAGCTGTAAATAATACTGTAATACCATTTCTTCCACAAATCAACTTTTTATGATCATCAAGTGTTAATGTTGATTGAAAACCATTTGACCAATCAGAGGAATTGTGCATTTGACACATACTTGTTATCTGTCGATGTGGATACACATGCATCTACTCATTGTATTTGAATAAAACTCAGAAATATTATTCAATTATTTATTAAATAGAACGGAGGTACACAATTGTGGAAAGCCATAGTATTCAATGAAATAAAAGTTACAAATGAGTGAAACTAAACTTACCGCTTCCATTCTCTGCAATCATGGCTAATTTGTCTTCCAACTGTTTCCGCAGCTCGTCATTAGTATCAATAGATTCTTCCAGTCGCTTTCGTAGGGCACGAATCTCATCTAGATGTTGTTTTAATGAATCCTCGGACTCATCATCACTGTTACCTCTTGATTCAGCTCTCTGACTGTATGCAACATTTTTAAAGACTTCAAGTTCGTTTTTAAGAGATTTAATCAAAGCTTCACTCTCTGCAAGTTTTTTACTCTTGTTGTTGAGCTCTGCAAGCAGATTAGTGTCTGCAAGTTTTGGGCGTGACTGCAGCTGACCAGATTGAGAGTTGGATAGTGTTCTTTGAGGGGACTGGGATCGAATAGTATCTTGACTTAAAGATGTACTGATGTCTGTGTCATATCCTGACTGGGCATGTGGCGGTGTTTGGAAGATATTTGATGATCCTATATCAGCCTCTGACACTGCATGCAAATAAACACTTGACCGTGATTCTGAAATAAAAATGACACATTATCAGTTAAACCTATGCATGACAAAACACCCACATAAACTTTCAATTTAATTTGTGGATCCTTGCATGTTAAAGTATAATTTTGGAGTCAAAAAGTGGCATTATTGGTCAAATATTTGTGCTGTGTTCTATTAAACTAACTTTCATCAATTTTTACTAAATTCATAACAAAGATGTATCATTAAATCATACAGATGCACATCAATTTTGTTTGGGGATCCCTGCATGTATAGTTTTGGGGAAAAAATTTCAATTTCGCCCATTTTTTTTTTTTGGGAACAAACATTTTGACCCCAACCCCCGAAAAACATTCCTTAATAAACTGCGAAATTGTCAATATATGTAATATAAAACTGAGCAATGCATTGCCAACAAAAAGCAAAAACAAAATTTTAAAATCATTGTATAAGAATTGTTAGGAAAGAAAGGCTAAAGGGTTTCTGTTTTATATTTTGTTTAAAAAAACTAATGGTTACGCAAATGGTAAATTACAGGACGCATACAAATTACTGCTTTTAGTGTCACGATTAGTTGGTTCATTTCACAAGTATCATAAAAGTTACAGAAAAAAGTTTGAAAATCTGTTTTGATTCGCTTTCATTTTCCGTTATTGGGATAAATGTAAAATTTCAATATGTACGTATGTGCACAAATGTTTTAAAACTAGCTTTATATAGAATAGGAGTTCACCATCAAGGTCAGTGATCCTTATTGGCAATATTTCTAGAAGAGAAACTATCACAGAGAACAGACATGGTTTACATCAACTGAAAACACACAATAAATGTACCTGATAGCGTATCATCCAAGTCTTCTATGAGACGTCTACTCTGATCAGCTTTGTCTTTGAGTGAGACCATTCTATGAGGGCTGACACCACCAACAAAACACCATTCACCGACTTCATTCTGTTTAACCAGTGCACTCATTGTGTTGACAAGTTCTAGAAGGTGACTCTTTAAAATATTACTCAAATTTCTAGAATCTACAAGTTGTTTCTTCAAAGCCGCGATCTCAACGTCAAGCTCTTGGAAACTATGCTCGTGTGTCTGTGAAGAAGAAAGCGGCATTTTTTCTTTCAAGTTATTCAGATCATCCGCAAGGAACTGACTCTCTAGCTCAGCCACACTCTTTTCTTTCTTGAGCACTCTGTTTTCCGCAGTTAGTACCTCCTTCTCGTCAATCAGATTTATTCTTTCCGCTTCCATAGCTTGAAGTTTATTTTTAAGAGCACAGTGGTTTTCTATAAGTAGCTGTAGCCGACCGCGCAAAGCCTGACCATCGCACTGTGCACCACGGAAATCAGTTTCCAAGTTCACATACTCGTTTTGTAAACTAGAGTTAAGCTCATAATAGTTCTGAAGTTCATTCTTTAGTACCTCCACCTCTTCTTGTAGCTTTCCCAAAGCTTCCTCGTTGGCAAGTACTTCATACCATGTTCTATCCGAGCTATCATCACAAAGACTGACACAGCTGCGTGAAGGGCTGGAACAACTGCGGGTTGGACTAGAACTACGGGAGCTAAGTAACTCTTTAAGTTTTTTCTGAAACACGTAAGCCACCTTCTTTGCTTTCTGTAATTGCGACTCCAGATCTTCAACTTTCTTTTGCAGCTCTCCAACATTTGCACACTCTTCGTACTCTGTAGCAATAGTTGATGGCGACGAACCCACATCATCATTTTCGCGATAAACAAGGGCAGAAGACCATTTTGGTTCATACTCAACATTTGAATTATAGAGGTTGCTTTCACTTTGGCTTTTGCTGAATGCTGGTGAAACTGGAGGTACAATGCCTAAAGCCTTCATACGATTACGACATACTTTCAATTTATCTGACAATTGACGGACAGTTGCTTCAGTAGCCTGAAGCTTTGAAGAACTTTTCTTATCTTTTGACTTGAGATGACTGATTTCAGCTCTCAAGTTATCAATTTGTTGTCGAAGAGCAGAATTCACATCCTCAATCAGTGGAGTTACAGACCCTTGTGATTTTCTCTCTGGTGACACTGCCAGTTTTCTTCTGGTGTCAATCAGTTCCTTGTGTGTTGCTTCGAGCTCAGTTTTCTGACGTTCTATCTCTTGTGCCATATCAACAATGAGCTGAGGATTGAACACTGGTTTCTCCTCATCTGTGGAAGTATCCAACTGAACCTGTTTTCTCAGCAGAGTTTCCACCTCAAAGGCTTTTTCCAGCTCTTCCCTCAAATGCTCAAGTTCTTTATTTAGTGCTGCAACCTCTTGATTTCTTTCAACCAGGTGTTCTTTGCGCACCCACTCTCCGTCAAACTTTCCCAGTTCAGATTCAAGCTCTGCGTTGTCTTTTTGCAATTTTTCAATTGCTTCCTGATGCTTGCTCCTCTCCACCTTCAATAGATTATTCATTCCTCTAGCTTCATTCAAGTCAACCCTCTGCTGTTGCAGCATAAGTTCATACTTCTCTCCATCGGAGCGATGTTTTTCCAACTCGCGTTGCAAATGACAGACTTCTTGATCTTTATTATTAATCACTTGTTCAAGATCTTGAATTGATTTCTGATCTTCCTGGAAGCCATCGACATCATCTTGAAGTTGACCATTTATATCTTGGATTTCTTTAATCTTCATCCGAAGAGATCGGTTTTCATCTCTCAATTCAGAATTATCTTTCAACACCTCAGATAACTGTGTTTTAAGTTTGTCAAGTTCTTGGAAAAGTCCAACACTAGTAGAGGGGCTTACATTGGCAGGGGATGATTTAACTTTAGTCAACTTATGCCGGACATCGTCCAATTCCTCCTCTTTGTGTGCTAATGTGTTGTCTCTTTCTTGGAGAAGAGTCTTAGCCTGGTCGAGCTGTTCTTTGAGAACAGCCACAATGCTGTTGTCTTCATCTTTGGAGTATCCCGCTGGGTTTTCCAGCGCAAACGCAAGTTGGCGTTGTAAGTTCTTGTTATGGTTTTGAGATTCCTTCAGCTCTACTTCTAACTGATTAATACGCTGTGTCTGATTACTCAGTAAAGCAAGACGTGATGATTCCTCTTCATCTTCTTGTCCAGGAATACTCCTCTGATCATCCTCGTTTATTTCTCCAAGGGTAACATTATGCTGAGTTGAGACAGTAGTCTGGTTTGCAGAGCTGATTGGGTACTCTGATAGGTCCATGTGGCTGCTTCGTTCGGCTATTTCCTTCTGAGGCACAACTCTGTCAGGGCTAACATTACTGTTACGTTGAAGTTCTTCAAGACGACTTTGAAGTGAGGTATTCCATCTTCTACTTTCATCAAGTTGCTCTTTAAGAGAGCCCAGTAAATCTGAAAACAAACAAAAATAGCGAATTTAAGCCTCCCATCAACACATTCAGTATAAAAACAATAAAAATAGAAGAACAGTTTAATTAAATCAAAAAAAGGTCGGATTATATTTCACAATTTAATTCAGTAATAATAATATTACCTGCATCACTACTGAAGCCACTAGATGACGGTGATAGTGGCAACGAACGTTTGAACTGATCTCTCATGTTTTTAGTCTCCCTCAGACTCTTTTCTAGCTCTGCACGCAAGGCTTCTACGGCCGACAGCTGAATCCTCAATGCATCTTGCTGTCCAAAGTCATCATCATCTACATCCGGCATGGTTGAGTTCTGTAAACTCATGCTTTCGTAGATAACTTTCTCAGCATATAGAGCCTCTTTCAGCTTTTTCACCTCTTCCATGTTTTTGTGCCATTCCTTTCAAATTAAAAGATACCAAAATAATCAATACACAGAACACAAATTCAAATTTCTTCATTAATTTTTCCATTCAAAAATACAATAGAATATTTCATTTTGTTTACATTCACCTCTTGGTCTTTGTATTCTCTCTCGTCACGTTCTTTCTTAGGAGAGTCCATTTTATTTTGCAAGTCCTATAAACAAGGAAACAACAGTTTAATAATCCCACAAATAAATCATTAAACAATGGCTAAGAATGTAATGCAACAATTATTCTTGTTAATCCTATGAATACTACAGTGTTTTTTTTGGTGCAACATTTTGCATATTTTTCTATAATTTCTGAATCAAAATTTATGAATACACAGATTTATTTGGAGATAAGTGGCAAATGTTTATACACTTCTGGTCATAATGTTTTTGTAAGTGCACCTAAGGGTACTTTTGCAAAAGTCAGTGACTCCCTAGCTTAGCTATATTTCACTTTCTTGACTCACACAAATTTGACTAGTGCATAAGTAATTTTGTTCACAGTAATTATAAGTACAAGCCTGTTTTTATGTTTGATGAATTAGATGAAGCTGTATAGTATAATAGGTTTGGTTTTACACACTGTTAAGACAAGCAATACATCATGTAACATCTTGATCTGAATGATGACACCCCATGAGGAGATTATGAACGTTAACCTGCCAAGATTTTCCAATAAATCATCTTCAATAGTCCAATTACATTCCATAATTTATATTATTTTTCTATATTGCAATTAGTATTTCATAGTATAACTAGGTTTTTTAAAATTTTTTTGTTTACAGAAAATTTTATTTGAAATGTTTGCTGAGATACTATGCGAAAGTATTTTTAACTGATTCATGATGAGTTGCAAGTTTGAAATGTTTGCTGAGATACTATGCGAAAGTATTTTTAACTGATTCATGATGGGTTGCAAGTACACAAAATTGGAAAGAGGCTACCACCACCACCAGTGATTAATTTTCAATCAAACACATTTTTTCTCAGGTGTCTTTTATTTGATTTCAGGACATAGATAAAATTATGCTCGTTTCTATTGTAGTTTATGCTCTGAGCATTTTTTGAAGATCACAGATAAGCAAATCAATTTTCTAATAGATCTAATTAACTTGCTTTGATCATAAAAAATGTTTAATTCTGTAAAATGTTTCATCTAAACCATAGTCAACTTTTGTCACAAAATAAACCGGCACATGTTTTAATTTTTTTTTTTAAATCTTGTTAATGACCTGTAGACAATAAAAACTATATTTTATTGGTCTATATAGAAAAATAAATAAATGTGCAAACTGGAATAATAAAATGATTCTGAAAAAAATGATGGCTTTCAGTAATTGAATCCTTAAATATTTATAATTTATATTATTATTATATTCAAGAAATATGTGTTGAAAAAACATCAACATATTTTTGTATTCTGAAAATCGTGGACTTGAATAATAGGAAAAATAAATGTCAAAAAATATCTACATTGCAATCTTAATAAAAATCATAAAAATAAAACAATCATATTACATCATGTTGGTATCTCCAGTCATTGTTTTGTAAAAACTATAGTGTATATATGCAAATAATTACAGAGCAATAAAAATCAAGTAATCAGAGCAATAAAAATTATCATATTAGTAAAAATGTGATGTATGTAATATGTTATTATTATATAATTAATATATTTTAATTTTACCTTAATTATCTGGTCCTTAACATTCCCGGCATTAATCAGTGCATCAATGTTCTCTTCCTTTGAGTGCAGTTCAGTTTCCAAATCAACATTTTTCCGTTTTGCCTGGGCCTACAAATAAACATCAGAATATGAAAACCATAGCATCGATGGCTTAAAAAAGCATCATGGTTTGGGGTGTAGCTGCTGTTGTGCTAATGCATTGACAGTCACAGTGATAGGGGTTTTGGCTGAGTGATGCAGTATGGTCTTGATAAATTAATATAGCGTACAAAAAGTCAAGTTATACAGATATTATTTGAAATGTATTTTTTTAGTCACAGATCTTTTCAATATCTAAGAAGTGTAACATACACGAAAATACAAATCCATATCCAGCTGTAGACTCTTGATATTAGCCTTCATAACCGCCCATACTGGAAGCGGGTAAGATGTAGAGCTGTGACTGAACACATCACAGCGTCTGAAGTATGTGTTCATAGTTGCAACTGATCTCACGCTGTCACTGGCAGCATACGCAGATGTACAGGTAGGAACACCATATGGATGTACAGGTAGGAACACCATATGGGTTGACAGCACAATATTGTTTTGTTTGTGTGTGAGGGGAATTGACCATTATTCGAGAGGGGTGGTCAACTTAAAAAAGGAGGGTGATTATAGTGATCAACCCACAGTTGGAAAGCAGCTGAAGACGCCTAAGACGCCTAAAACCCCTCTCAGGACCACAATTTCTACAAGTCCATCTAATTATGTATAATTAATTGGCAAACAGATAAATATCAGTACATCTGCTGCATTCTATTGACTATGTCACATAACAAAACACTATTATCTAAGCGCAAACACTTACCAATTCAAGATGAGCCATTTTGTCTGCACGTTGCTGTTTTTGCAATTTTTCTATAATGTTCCTAAAAAAGAAGAAAAACAAATTAAACATTGTGACTACCATATTGTTTATATTAGTAATGCATACACTTATGTAAATGAGAAATATGCATAAAATAAATTGTATTATAATGATCCAACACCAAATAGATGCAATGTTTTTATTTCAGTGTGTTTCTAATAGAACAAATATGGTAAATTTAACAGCGTTTACGATGACTACATGTCAAGGAAATTGTGTGTGTTTAAAGAACAGTAGACAGAATGTCACAGCTACAAATATTTCTAGGATTCAAACAAATTTCTCTCTTGAAATTAAAGCAGTTTACAGTATTTCAGTGAAGGAGAAAGGTAATATGAACGCCATGTTAAGAATGTTTACATACTTAGCAGCTGTGAATTCTTCATCTTGTTTTCTGATGTGAGCTTTAAGTTTCTCAATGTACTCATCTCCTTTACCGGCTGACAATTCATGGATCATAGCTAACAGGGAAATAAATCAACAGTCAATATTAATAATAATAGTTTGAATCAACTCTTTCAACAACTGTCTACCTTTGTCACCTTTCACAAACTAGCTTTTTTACATATCTCCAACCCCTTCAACACCAGTCAATATTTGTCACCTTTCACAAACTAGCTTTTTCTGTGCATATTAATTAGGTTATTTACATATCTCCAATCCTTTCATCACCAGTCAATATTTGTCACCTTTCACAAACTAGCTTTTTTCTGTGCATATTAATTAGGTTATTTACATATCTCCAATCCTTTTATCACCAGTCAATATTTGTCACCTTTCACAAACTAGCTTTTTTCTGTGCATATTAATTAGGTTATTTACATATCTCCAACCCCTTCATCACCAGTGAATATTTCTCACCTTTCACAAACCCTTTCACCACTATTATTTACCTCTGTAACCTTCCAAAAAATTGTTTTATTCAAAGAATGTTGTCTTGATTTAAATTCAAACCCTATTTGAAAATGTTCAGAATTTGACGGCTAACATTCACAGTGACAGCACTTTTATCTCCAACTTTGCAATTTCTGTGATGTCATGTGACACTTGTATCTCCTATATTTCTAGGTTTACTCCAGTGCTTACCTCTTTTATCAAGAAGTTCACCCTGAAGTTTATTGATCTCTTTCTTCAACCTGGACACTTCAGAATTGGAAGACGCAAGGGGACTTGTTTGCTGGATGGCATGGTTAGCTTGCAGTGAACTCTGAGGCTGTTGTTTCTGCAAGGCTAGTATCATGCGATCTTTGTCGCGACCATTTTCAACAAATTTCTGAAAGGAACAAAGGGTGGTTAAACAAACAAAATTCAATACATGCAGTTTACTGAAGTTCTGTAAAACGCTATTTTAAGGGAATGTACAGTTACAAAAATTCACAAATTTTGAAAATCACTGAAAAATAGTTTCTCACAAAATTGAAAGTCAAGTATTTTCTAAAATTGTTTACCCATAATTCTTCTAGTAAATTGATAAATAATTATTTTTGGAAGTGGCTGGATTTTTAGAAGACAAATTAAATTTTTTTTTTAATGGAAAGATTACGGTATTCCGCTTTCTTAATTTATCCTGAAAATAATTCAGTGGACACTAAATGTCAATCATGTTCTGACATAAACCACAGCTTTTTTTCAGATCTTTTCGTTTGAAAAATTAAACTTTCCTGAAAAATCAAAATAAAAGAAATATGCAATATATAAAATACAATAAACTTTACAAGTTTTAATTGTTTTTACACGATTCATGCATTGTTACTTTAACATGCAATTTACAAGATATTTCTAGCGCTAAAGAAGAAAGTAAGGTGTACCGTAATTATCCAAATACTCAATATCAAAAGCTATAAGCATACCGGCAAGTCAGTCGCTCATACCTTTAATCTATAATTTGGACAGTTAAGGTATAACTAGTGTTTCCTAATGCAGACATAACAAAAATGACTGAGACAGCATATTTCATGCACACCAACCTAGAGGACAATGCATAGTATTTAGAGCACCAACATTGGGACAAAAGCAATGTATCAGAAAAAATGGAAAAAAGACAATGAACTGTGTTTTCTTTCTCAAGGTACAAGAAAATAACAATGTACAAGAGTAACATGTATATAACATAATGAAATCAAAGATGGTAAAAGACAACAAAGAAAGAAATCTAATAAGATAATAGTATACATGACTAGTGTACACATAAAATACCATGCACAGTTCAAAGCTTATTACAGATACGCAAAAACTACAACCAAAGCTAAAGCCGATAGACAGCCAGTAACAGCTAAACCCGACAGACAGCCAGTAACAGTTATAGCGTCTTTACCCAGACATGCTTTTTTTATATTTTTAGTTGTTACCTCAATCATTTTATCTCTTTCCCCGAGAGCAGCTCTCATCTTGTTCAGAACCGTGTTTTGCTCTCGATCAGCACGTGTAAGCGTGTCCTCGACGCTCTGAAAGTGAGAGGTTGCCATGGTAATGATGGACTTAAGAGAGCACTCCCCACAGAACAGAATTCCTTAAAGTTTACATTTCAGGTAACCATTATACATACATTAAATAAAAATCATTGTAGATATTCATTTATAATAAACATCCATCCCAAAAAATTTTAATTTTAAACACATGGCAATGAAATGTAAAGGGAAGATTCACTATGCTTCACTTTATTTGACTGGGAGATGAAACTCAACTAGCGAATTTTACTCGGTGATAAAGCATCTAAGGCAATATTAGTCATTTGACAACTCTGTACAAAAGCCCCTAGTGACAAGCTCACTGGAAACTATTCAATCCTATCAAACAATAGGTTAATTATTAATACTTTACAGATATATATGCCTAACCACTGCAAGTACATGCTGGCATTCCTGATGGACAACGACTGATTTAGTAGCGGTGTTACTACGTGACTCCAAGCATCATTAGCTAACAACATAATACAAAAAATTATACAGTTCAACGAACACACACACAGGGTAGGATTTCAACTTACTTCAAGTTCGCGATCTCTCTCACTGATTGCCTTCTCCAGCTCTCTAATGGTATTGTCTTTTTCAGCAATTAACCGATTATGCCTGTCATTGATTTCCTAGAGTACAAAATAAATAGTGTAACCATGAAAAAAGTTCAGGGGAACCATAAATAAATAATCTGATTGGCACCTATGATCACTGACATTTTGTGGTTTTCCATAAAGCTGTATATAAAATGGTTACACTGAGACATTGGTTTTTGAGGGAAAAATATTAAGTGCATACAAAACATGAAGTTTTACCTGTAAGTGCAAAGACACATATAAATTTAAATAAAAATTGTGTGATATAAGTATGAAGGAGGACAGGGTTATTAAGTTATTTTTAGATCTAATAAAATGATGCTTAAATTTAAAAAAATTAAAGAATGTGTAATCACAACAATTAATTTACCCTTTTTTATTTTTTTTTCTAGAAAAAAAAAAAGATTTGCTGCAGACAACACACAGTGAATTAAGACTATCGGTAATCCAAATCTGATGATATGCAGATATTTGTACGTATATTTTTACGTGCAATAAACCAGAACTACGTGTAAGACATAGTTGATTAGAATATAGCAATACATCCACACTTTAAAGAAATACAACAATGTATGTATTATACATTACACACATTGATATTTAAATTATCAAAAACAATTAACCATTATTCGAAAAAAGGAGACTAAAAAACAAACTTTAACAACTTCATAATAAAGTCAGCGTACTAAATACCTGTTGAAGTGACACAGGTCTGGGGGAAATATCCCGACGCGACATTATTTTTAACAACCAGAGCACATACAAACTAAGAAGAGCTGCTTCGTTTACGCGTTACAAGACGAGACATGTTGCTACACGATATTGTAGATACCCCTTCTATAGTAATCCCACAAAGCAAATAAGAACAACAATAGCCTAGGTATTTCAGTGAGGTCATTAATCCGTTCTAGTCAGCAATGTGGTTGTACGTTCATGTAAACTATAGGCCAGGATTCAAGTGATTTAATAACCAAGGTTTACCAGGCCCAGGTCATAACCAATGCATTGTGGTTTGGAAGCTACTGCCTGACCTTTGAACCCTATATGACATCTAACTGTTTTCTATTGTAGTGATTTTTTAAAGTGACCGCTATACAGACAATGTACACACCTCCTCTACCATATAAAGGTCACGCCTTCCTTTATTGATTTTTATGGGATCTGATGTAACTAGGATATTCTATTGCGCCAGTGAAATTCGTACTGAAACTGTCAGATGCAAGATATAAATCGTATAATTACATATAAACAAACTGATAACCATAGCAACAAAAACCGTGGTAGTTGAAGCCCGGAGGGGGAGGCATGCTTTATGAATATAGTCATACAACATAAGAATCTGTTATACACAATTCTGTGTGCAAGTGTTTTACCTTAATATGGTGGTCTTTATCGTGGATTGCTTGCATCAAATCATGCGAGGCTTTCTCATGAGCGGCAACAGCTTTGCTTCTTTCCGCCATCACATCCTTCAGTTAGAAAAATAAGGAAACTGACTTAATTATGGTTTTTAGATGAAATGCTGAAAAGTGAGTATGCACAGCAAAAAATGCAAACCAACCATGTCTTCAGCTAAAATGCAATCCCAGAATTCAATAGTACGGCCTTCATGTGACAAAAGACAACAATACAAGTACATACCTCAAGGAGTTTATCCCGTTCTTTTAAGCGCACATTGAGCTCCTGAATCATACTGGCTTCGTCACCATTAAGAAGACTGTCAGGTCGGGCACTCATTAACAAATTCTCAGCAGCCGACTGGACACGATTGTCTTTAGATTTCACGGCTTCCTGCAGTTTACGAATCATCGCTTCTTTCTCAGCGACGACCCGATCATGATTGGAAGCAGAATCCTAATCAAAACAAATTATAATAGTAAAGTCAGTCAAGATCTACATTTAATCTAATTTTTTTACAATAAATATCTGAATGTCATGTTTATTAAGTTGTGCAGAAATACATTACAATAGATGAATAATTAATTACCGCTAATGATGTTCGCTGTAAATCCAAAGCACGAGAGTACTCATCAACCTGTGTGCTCAATTCTTGAATCTGATTCTCCAAACGCTGTAACAAAATAAAAAAATTACTGTTAAAGCTAATGAATGTCAAGTCGCCTTTACAAAATAAACCTCCATAATTGTTTGTTTTGAAAATTTGGTCCATTTGGTCCAAAATTGAAATGGAAATTATAGAAAAATACATAAAAATGTGGTACATCCAACAAGTTTTTGGGAAAACAAATACTGTAGAGTACTTTATTTTTGCTTGGAATTAATTTTCGCTGGAGTAATTATTCAGTAAAAATACAATCTAGCAAATATACTTTTTTTTCCTATATTTTACATTCAACGCATCAAAAATCAGTAAAAATAAATTCCATACAAAACACCCAAAATGCTTTTTCAGTGAAAATTAATTCCAGCTGAAATAAAGAATTTTACAGTATGGTAACAAAAAGATCCATCACAGATGTTTCAGATGATTGATGCTATTATGACTGGTGAGCAACATTTGCTAAAACATGTAAAAATAACAATACAACTCATTGTTTTCCAGAATACAGGCAAAATGCTCAAAATAGTGAAATTTATATAAGTAAAATGAAATGATTTGACAGTTTTATTGAAAGTATGTGACTGAGTGTTGCAAGCATTAGTTTTAAACTTTGTCTGAACTATAGGCTTTAAGCATGACACCCAAGATCACACATCCTGGTACTTTCAGGGGTCACACATCCTGGTACATTCTGGGGTCACAAATCCTGGTACTTTCTGACAGCACAAAATCACTATCAATGAGAACTTTGCAATTACTGTTACCAAAAAATAAAAGCAGAGTCATTGAATATAATCAAAATTATTGCTGTTGTAGAACAACAATACCCCCCGAAACTCTCAGGATGTATGACCTTTTGGGGGTCATATGTAAGACATACAAATGTATATAGAGGGTTAACTTACCAAGTTCTTATCTTCTGTCATTGTGATCTCACTCAGTGCCCGTTGAACATCTCGGTCTCGATCCCGCAGAGTCATGTTTAGACTACGGATTTCATCATCTTTAGATTCAATGATTTTAAACTTTTCATCAATAGCATTCTGTAAAAAGACAAAAAATCGTATACATAATTAATAAACATAAAACCCAAACATTATTAACAGAGAATTGCATTCAACCCACATTTCACATAATGCCTTAATTATCCCTCACCAACATTTTGGTTCAACATTTTTACAAATTTCTTTATATTTTGGTCCAACTAAATATACTACCAGTATTTCCTAGTTGGTTATAGAAATTGATGAAAATTATTTGGGTTATTTTGTGAAAAACAAAAAATGTTGACTTTGGTGTTGAAAGATTTAAACTTCTAATAAATTCAATAGTTTCATTTTGTGAGTTTTTTTATCCCAAGATGATCTCTATTCTTCTGTGATGTAGCGCCCTCTAACACTACATATGAGAAATTCACTTACTTCTGCATCACGTTCCCTTTTCTTGAGTTCCTGACGGAGACTTTCAATCATGATGTCTTTACCTACAGCTTTGTGACTCTGAAAAACAAAATAAAATTCAACTATCAATATTAAATGCCAAAATAAATTGGTGCAAATATTGCCATGAAATAAATATTAAAGTTTTTATCACTTTTCTATTGATCTACTTATTCCACTAATTTTTATAAGTTTTAATAATTTGCGTGTTGATATACTAAATCATAATAAAGCATAAACCTTATTAACCCATTGAATGCAAGTCAACTACTTTTCACTGAAAGCCATTGTAATTTTTTCTACATCCTATTCAAAGGCAGCCAAAAAATTATTTCCATTTTGTCCAAAATTAACAAAGAAATCATCAAAAAAAAGAGACACAAAATGTGGAAAATGTTGCTCAAGATCAAGTATAGCCAATGAAAAAAAAAAATAGAAAAAAAACCCCATTAAAATGTACAAAATGTTCAAAAAACATTTTGGCGGGAAAATTTATAGCATTTAAACAGTAATTTTGAAAAGCATATCTCCACTGTAATTCATTTGTACATGTATGATGCTGCAATAATAAATAATAAACTATTAAATTTTAGTTACTGTAGAATGACTAATTTTTACTGGGTTTAAATTTCGTTGATTTACCATTTCAGGCATATTCAGTGAGTTTTAAATTCACGGTTTTATCATTTACATAATGTGTTCTATGCTAAATTTTAAATATTCACTGGGTTTTAATTTAGCGCATTTTCCAGTCAGCGAAATAAGCGAAATTAAAACCCAGTGAATAATTAACCCCTTTACGGTACCCAGAATGCTCTTAATTTTAGAAAATTTGCAAGGAATAATTTAAAAAAAACATGAAATGTTCAATACAAGGTACCAATACATTTGTTACTATTTATGTCTCATGAAAACTTGTGACACGTAAAGATGCATGTACTACTGTCATATATTGCACTGCTATAATTGTGCTGGTAGACTCCACAAACAAACAAACATTGAAAATACTTGCATAAACATGCCAACCCCCATCACAAAATATCATACTAATAAAATTCAAATCAAGCCAAACATTTTTAATACACGTGAATACACGCTAATAACAGATATAAATAGAGAAATATTTCTCACAAATAAATAATAAAATGATTGAAAAATTGTTTTAATTTAAAACGTACACAGATTCAATCTGTAATTTATAAATAACTCTTACCAACATGACTAATTGGAATCGAGTCAAATACTGCGTGTCGTTCCAGATTGACACAGACATTTCAGCCACACACGTACGTACATACACACACAAATTAATCCTTTTTTGAATATCTGGGAATGTTTTATCCAATTCCATCCATGGAGATGAACATGAAATCGAGGAATGCCATTTTGTGACACATCATGACTAACCCATGGCGATGTATACATGTATAGTTATACGTATTATGCAAATTAGATGTATTTTGGGCCTTCGAATTATTAGTCTGCTATAAGGGAAAATAAGGGACAACATCTGTTTCTGTTTACACAATATAAAACTGCATGAATCTCCAAATAAAATGTACATATAGCTAAACACAAAAAAATTTGCCTGCAATTCATGATTTATTTCATCTTTCCAATTCAACAAGTGGTGTTATTCTCCCCGTGAAAGCTATGCCACCTGTATACCAAAATGGAACATTCCAATAAAATCCTGATAGAAAAACAATAACATTCAAACGTTGTGCTTTTTCTACACAGAAAAATTAAAATTACAATTTTAACATTCCTCATGTAAAACAATTTTGATATTTAATTTTAATTTTGCAAATTTCAATGTGATGTAACCTCGTACACACTCATAACACCTGTTGCAGCCACCTCAATACCACTTTGCATAATTATCTGACCATGGCACATGTATACAACAACAGAAATTAAATGAATAATTTGAAATCTTACCTCAGGTGCAATCTTATGTTTCTCCATAACCTCCTGTGGAAAAAAAAATTATACAGGATAAGAAATACGAGAAATTCAATGTCATAACAAAAGAAAATTGGTAACTATAGAGATATGTACATGTTGTGGTTACATTTCTATGTTTTTCAAGTTCAGATCTAGCACTGTTTTGACATGACTGGCTGAAATCATCATCTTCAACATCTGTACTATCAGTTTCACTGCAGGCCTTGTTATCCTTACAGGGATGACAAAAACATCCTTTTTGTACGGCAATATTATTATACAATGTGGTACAGTACATATCTGGTGCTGAGCAGTCCATACTATGCAAGTACTGAGGCAGCCATACATTTGGATATGATAGATTCATAATAGGTAAACTAAGGGTGATTACAACCAGCTGGACACTATTTGTTACATTGCAAAGAACACTGTTAAAAGCTATTATGTATCCTGGGTCATATAGTCACTCATTAAATGCAAATTATTAAGTATATATACAAAGTAAAAAAGCAAATATTGTTTCACATTCTTGTATCAACAAAGAAAAGTCTCGCTTCGTAGAATTCAATTTTTGTTTTCTTTTTTTTTATAGAAAAATCTGAATATGTTTACAACTGAATTTAAGACAAGAAATCAACACATTTCAAAGTAATTGGGAAATCATACAATCTCTATATTCTTGAAAAATTACATGATGAATTAAAATTTTTACGATTAATGCAACATTAATTAATTTTATGGTCAAATATTAAAAGGAAACCCTTTCACATACCCTTTCGCGTGGACGGGTTTCATGTTCTCTGCACGTAATAAGCTCGGTTATTAAGCATCCTTTTTTGGGGATGCCCGGTGGCCGAGGGGAAGACGTGTAGTGGCGTGAAGCTAGGCGATTAGGTGCCGTACGCGAGCGCCAGTTCGAGTCACGCACGCAGTACGTGTTTACTATAATTAGACATAGTCTTTACCTTGCCGTTTATTCGGTGTTATTTGCTTACTTTACTTCCTATGTCGACAGCAACTATGAGTTTAGAAGTATTGGAAATGTACTTTTATTGGAAATGTACTTCTATTGGAAATGTACTTCTCACAGAACTAATATGACACATATGTACCCATGGCTTGTATGTACTTCTATTGGAAATGTACTTCTATTGGAAATGTACTTCTATTGGAAATGTACTACTATTGGAAATGTACTTCTATTGGAAATGTACTTCTATTGGAAATGTACTTCTAACAGAACTAATATGACACATATGTACCCATGGCTTGTATGTACTTCTATTGGAAATGTACTTCTAACAGAACTAATATGACACATATGTACCCATGGCTTGTATGTACTTCTATTGGAAATGTACTTCTATTGGAAATGTACTTCTAACAGAACTAATATGACACATATGTACCCATGGCTTATATGTACTTCTATTGGAAATGTACTTCTATTGGAAATGTACTTCTATTGGAAATGTACTTCTATTGGAAATGTACTTCTATTGGAAATGTACTACTATTGGAAATGTACTTCTAACAGAACTAATATGACACATATGTACCAATGGCTTATATGTACTTCTATTGGAAATGTACTTCTATTGGAAATGTACTTCTATTGGAAATGTACTTCTATTGGAAATGTACTTCTATTGGAAATGTACTTCTAACAGAACTAATATGGCCCATATGTACCCATGGCTTGTATGTACTTCTATTGGAAATGTACTTCTATTGGAAATGTACTTCTAACAGAACTAATATGGCCCATATGTACCCATGGCTTGTATGTACTTCTATTGGAAATGTACTTCTATTGGAAATGTACTTCTATTGGAAATGTACTTCTAACAGAACTAATATGACACATATGTACCCATGGCTTATATGTACTTCTATTGGAAATGTACTTCTATTGGAAATGTACTTCTAACATAACTAATATGACACATATGTACCCATGGCTTGTATGTACTTCTATTGGAAATGTACTTCTATTGGAAATGTACTTCTAACAGAACTAATATGACACATATGTACCCATGGCTTATATGTACTTCTATTGGAAATGTACTTCTATTGGAAATGTACTTCTATTGGAAATGTACTTCTAACAGAACTAATATGACACATATGTACCCATGGCTTGTATATACTTCTATTGGAAATGTACTTCTATTGGAAATGTACTTCTAACAGAACTAATATGACACATATGTACCCATGGCTTGTATGTACTTCTATTGGAAATGTACTTCTAACAGAACTAATATGACACATATGTACCCTTATCTAAAACAAAAATCAGTCAGATATTTTACTTTCTGTATTTGGCTAAACTTAGTGAGAAATGTTGTTATTGGTTTCATCATGTAAATCAAAAAAAAAAAATTCTGTGTTCCAAATCAATATATATTTTAATAAAACTTACAGTTATTATTTTATCCTTGTCATCAATTCCTTGTTGTAGCTTTTGAATGAGATTATCTTTATTTCTAATCTGATCTTGGTGATCTTGTAAAATCTGCTGGTAATGCTGCTCTATTCCAATCTTTTGCTCACTTAAATCATACTTCAAGTCACCAACTTGTTTTGTCAAATCCTGTAACAACAAATCGCCTGTTAAAAATGGCTCCATTCTGGGTTTAATTTGCCAGCCATGATGCATGCAAATGTGTGTACCTCATGACCCCAGATTGACCTGCATGTTCAACGCCCCATATACATTCCAGAGCATAGTGATTGATTCATACACTCAGTGATTTGATTACTCACAAGAAAGAGATACTTCTAAGGTTTATTGCTGTGTTCTGGGACAATTTGATAATATAAATATGCACAAACTGCAGATTTCAGTTTTCCCTCTATTTTGGATTACAGCAGCTTGCAGAACTTGATTCAAAAGTATGATATACAACAAATGATACAAAAATAAATGGAGAACATTCTAATACAGTACTTGCCCTAGTACACGTACCCACATTTTATGAACAAAGATATAACTTATGGTAAAAAATTTTTAAAAAAAATTAAAAAGTATGATTACCACTTTTTATTATATGCAGAAAACCTACCACTGACCATTGTGATAGCCATGTAAAATGATTAAAATCAGTTGGTATGGCTACAAATCCAGAAATATTGGAGCACTGGAAGTTATGATGTCTAATCACCAAATTAAGCTTAATTTTTATTGGTGTAATCAATCAAGGCCACCTCATGTTAGAAAAGGCTTCTAAAATTCAATTTCAGAATTATGTAGGGTATATTATTTCTCAGAAACTGTACAAAGTTCAATTTCCTGTGATGCTTACAGGGGTCAGTGAGATGTTTTCTACAGATCATACAAAGCAGGAATGTAACATGAAGGATCCATTAAACAATTAATGCAAATTTTTATTTATTGGAGCTTCAATTGGAGATGTGTCAAAATTTGAAAGCCTATGATATATTTGCACAATTCCTGTATATTCCTGTTACAATACATACATAATGAACATTGATGCATCAGCTCAAAGTATTATGTACAACTACATTTACATCTACTGTGATATTTCAGACTGCATAAATTAATCATAACACAAGTACACAAACCAATTGACAGTTAAATCTCAACTAAACAAACATTGATTATCAAAAACACTTTTTATTGACCTTTTAGTTTTGTGATCGAATATTTAAACTGTCAGTTATTGTCAACAACCAGACAGGGCTGCATATATTACTGCTGACAATGAAATCAGTGCTGAACATTTCAAAATTTTACAGTACTGTATTTGCTCTAATAGTAGCATAAGAACTCACATTAATGATCAAAATAAGTAACATTTTTAATGATTTAGTATATAACTAATGTCATTCTGGTTTATATTTTTATTCTGTTAGAGATGTGCTTCCAATAGAGCAAATACAAATAGTATATACCAGTAAATTAATTTTAATTAAAAGTATTGATTAGACTATATAAATGAACAAATAAATAAATAAACTCACATTAGCATACATACATATTACGGAATTGCTTAGTGTATATACTATGGAATATTTTATTTTCGCTGGAATTAATTTTCGCTGAAAAGGCTTTTTGGACATTTTTTATGGAATTTTATTTTCACTGATTTTTGATGAGTTTAATGTGAAATAAGGGAAAAAAGTATATTCGCTGGATTTTATTTTCACTGAATCATCCCTTCAGCGAAAACAGCAAAAATAAAGTATTCTACAGTAATGTTACTTGTGAATTTAATAAACTTGTTACCAAAGTAATAATAAAAATACTGTGACAATTTGTGATTCAATCAAAAAGTTACATTCTTTAAAAGACCATTTTGCAAATTTTTCTGACTAAAGAAATTCACAAAACATTCGTCTCAACAAATTTGAAATCTGTTTTTGGGGTACAGATACAATGATTAACTACTTTTTTTGAGGTAACAAGTTCATGAACTTGCATTATTAACTTGCTATATTTTAGATGACTAAAATAAGACGCATGTTTAGATACAATTACTGACTATCAGTTTAATATACTAACTAACTAAGCCCTTATATTTACCGTAACACTGTTCTTGGCACTGCTAAGCTTTTTACCTAAATGTGTAATCACTAACACATTTCTGCACACCTTACGTTCATAGCTCTGTGCAACAAATAGGCATCCATACACATACATCACATGTTCACAAAATAATAATAAAAAACGAGAGAAAAATTAAAATAAAGTAAATAAAAACAAATCTTTACAATATCAACATAAGCAAATGTCACCAAGAAAAAAAAAAAAGTTTAAATATTTATGTTATTTGCCTTTAGAGGGCGCTGTCTCACCTTAATAGCTTCCTCCTTGTTCTTCAGAGTGTCACTGGCCACAAACTCCGCCAGATCTTTTCCTTGCTTCAGACCATCAACCTCGGTTTGCTTACGAGCAAGTGATTTTTGAAGCCTCTGTTTATAAAAAGCAAAATGTTAGTTTGAAAGTGGCAATTCCTGGCTACTACTTTTATGTTTTTAGTTTGGTTAAAATAACCACTAACCATGAATACGAGTTTGTTTTTTGTTTTATCTGAGCACTCAACAGAACTCAACTATTTTTCCCGTCACCAGAGCCTGATCGTTATTATCGATTGCCACTTACGGTGTCTTCCAAACGAGTTGGTTCAACTCTAGCATAGTTCGGGTCAAACTAGAATCAACAAAATTTGGAACAATGTACGCAGTTAGGTGTCATGTAAATACCCAGCATGCATTTCAATAGCAAAGCATACATACCTAAACACTACTCCAACACTGGTACAGCCCAAAAGCAAAATAAAAAGTAGGGGAAAATTTGCCTCCTTGCATTTTAACTTAACCATAACCACCTTATGCAATAATGGTACAGCCCAAAGCAAGGTTAGAGATGGTTCTATCAATGTAACATACAACATACCTCACATTCAAGTTCGCGTTCATGAAGTTGAGATTTTAAATTCAGAATATTATCTTCTTTTTTACTTATCATCATTTGTTGTTCCTCCGCACCCTGGAAGAGAGAATTTAGAAAGAGTCATTGATTGGTGTCAGTGTCAGACCAGCCACCTCAATGAGTCTCAACAGACAGTCTATTTCAAAAATACAAAGAAGCCATCTTGATACGTCATAGGGGCAACGTTAATGCTAAATATCAGTAATTCTACATTTTTGTTGAGCAAAACCATTTAGATTGCTAGTTACCTCAAGCCAGGTTATTCGCAAACAATTCATAATATTTTTATGAAGTCAATGAACTTTTGTCCACTAACTATAGCTATTTTGGGAATACCAGACAGTGAGTGTTGAAGTAAGAGAAAGTCAGAACACATACGACAGGAACTTGTGAACGATTTGTCATCAACAAAATTTCACTACATCTTAATAAAGAAGTATAGCAGTCTTTCAGAATACCATTTGTTTAATGAAGTAGATGTAGTATAGAAGGTAATTTTGAGCAGCGTCTCATAAGTAAGAGATAACAATGTTAGCATACCTGACATCTATAGAGTTCAGCATTATGCATGGCTTCTTTTGTTTCTTTTATTGTCTTCTCTTGTTCTTCAACTTGATCACAAAGTTGTTTTACCTGCACAATCATTGAAAAACAAACAATAGATTAACTTCTATGTGATGTTTAGAAGCTACTGCGAAGATGTACATTACAAGTTTATAAATAATTATTTTGGTTTACACAGATATAAGATAAAGATGGAGGCTGCAATATGTATATTTCCTTACCTCTTTCTCCTTTTTCTGCAACATTTCAGCAAGCCCTTTGATGGCTTTGTCTCTCTTCAAAGCATTTGTCTCATGGTTCTTGATTTCCTGATCTCTCCAAGTCATCTCATTCTCTAATTCCTAAAAATGGGGAAAGGAATTTAGAAGCCGAGCTACCAATAGAGGTTCATTGACCCAAACATCTGACTAATTTCAATAGTTATTAAAGTTGAAACATCACTGCCAGAACAAGCAATGAAATACAAATGTTTTTAACATTAAACAATGTATAAAAATGATTAAATATTAAAAGTTGATATTCTGCCCTGACCTTTTCACACAGTTCATATTATATGAGAACTGGAGGTTCTTATCCCATGCATGAACAAAGCCCCCTAACTCAGTATCTATTGTTTACAAACTTAATTTAAGCAACTAGCATGAATTAATATTCTGTACTTAATTTCTTATTGCCATCAACAATATCAATATTTCATAGTGTACATGTTGGACAGGAGATGGTACCTCACAGATTTACCAACTACCGCTTTTAATACACTATTTTGTATTTATTTATTGGGGCTGCTACTCAAGGCTACAACATTTATTCTCAATCTTGACAGGAATGCTATTTGGTACATTTTCATCTTTATTTGTGATTAGGTAATCATTCTATTTACAGACAAGAATTGATTAAACTGAGACTCACCTTGAGGTTACTCTGTGCATCAACCAAGGCCTTATCAAGATTCTGGAATATACAAAGGTATAAAACATGTGATTCATGGCTGGCTACTGTACACATACATCACTAAAGCTAACACATTGACAATGGTGAAACAAAAAAATCCGTTCTTGAAGTACCCATTGTAGACAAAAATCACACTGACACAACAAAAGACAAATTAGTATATCTACCTTATACCCCAACCACACATCAATCCCTTGATGCAATACACATACCTTAAGCTGACTGTCCTTATCTTCAACCAATGAACGGAGAGTTTTAGCCTCCTCTTCCATGAGTCTTTTATGACCCACATACTCTTGCTTCAAATTTTGAATTTGATGTTCAGTTTGCTCTCGTTCAATATCCTTCTCAGTGTCAATGATTTCTTGCAGTGTCTAAAACAATCACAATTATGTCACTATTACATCACTGTGATGTCATTTATTTACATTTTTGCCGACCAGCATGCCCATGTCTGATAACAAATGAGGCCAAATAAAATTAAGTGTGTTTCTGGTAACATTGAAAACAAAATTAGGGTAGGTAGGAATAACTTTTTATTTCATGAAGTTAATTATTGATTTTAAATTTTCATTATTCCGTAGGACTGCTTGGCCCATACTGTTTTATGAAAGTATTTCTCAATAAGATACCACATCTTGCATGTTCAGGTTGACATTTTGGTTCAAAAATAAAGAACTTCAAGTAGAGCTGAATGGTACAGGTGCCTATTTTCCATAAAAAGATAGAGGGTCAGCCTGAAAAATCTAGGCAAGATCTGGTTACAAGAAACGCATTATTTTTTATTTGTTCTAACACTTAATGAACAGCAATAAGCATGCGATCTGCAGCGATAACGTTAACCATGTTTTATTAACATGAACACATACATGTATATTTACTAACAATAGCATCGAACAACACCACTATATTTAGACGTGCACACACTCGAAATGAAAACGAGTGAGAGAGTCTATATGAGCAGGTGACAAAAATAAGAAACTCATGAACTCGCTAATTTTGGGCTAGAACTTTGGTATTCTCAGGGCACCGAAAACAAATGTTTGACAGCCTATAGGCAGTCAACTGCATTAAAACTGCTTTTCAAAAACAATGTAGTGAGCCATGTTACTAAACCTTTGAGCACCAACATAAAAAAAAACTGAATAAATTCCCATCAAAACCTGTCAGCAATGGGAAATTATGTCTATTTGGTAGATAATTAAGATAGGAATTATAGAAAAAAATGCATAAAAATAGGAACAATTTAGCAACGACATTGTGTTGCACCTTTTTAACCCTAAAATTTGTTTTACCTGGACTTCCATCTCCTTCTGAGAAGCTGCTTCTTTCAGCTGACAGATGTCTTCCTGCAAGGCGATGACTTGATTATTGGATTCCGTTCTCTCTATGTTCATTTGATCAATCAGTTGATTTTTAGTTTTCAAAGCGTCATTCAACTGAGCTATTATTCTGTAATAGAGGAATCACAATTTAATTATTACGAGTGAATGGTGTATGTACAAAACAGTGCTAATAATTTTCTTTTTAAATTCATAAAAAAGTAAAAATCATACTTCTGTACTTTTGATCCTCAATATCTATAGAACTAAGAGATAAGATTACTGACAGCTTACCGATCTTTTTCCACAATAGTGCCTTTCTGCATTTCCTGAAGCATGGTTCTCTCTTCTTTACTTGATCCAAGCTTTTTCTCGTACTCCGCAATTTTCTTATTTGCCTGTCCAAGCTCCTCCTGTGCTTCATCAAGTTTTTGACGCAACAGTTCCGCCTCCTGAAAACAAACATAAAAGATGTGGAACTTCTGTGAAGCTAAAAATAGAACTATATTTTGTTGCTGAAATCAAGAAGCAAATAAGTAAATTTATTACCAAACGCTTCAGCGTGGTATTAAGAGTTTGTTTTCAGGGGTGGGTGATACCAAGGTGGGAAATGGATGCACATATGGGGTTAATTCCTTGAATTGCAATATAGAGGGT